TCGTCAGGAGGTAATCCAACTGCTGCTGTAATTCCTCGAGTTCCGGTTGGCTGAGCCGAAATTGTCGCTGTACTGTCGGTTGTGCGCCTGGTTCTAGTTCGATGCGGTGGTCTTCGGGTCGGCTTGGGGGAAGTCCGGCGGGTAGGTCGTCCGGGAAAATCTCGGGGTATCTTCGAATGAGTACCGCTAAATCCGGAGGGACGGCTTCACACAGCTTCGTGATATCTTCCGCTGTTATCGGCGACGTCACTTCGCGAAGATCGACGGCGTATGCTGCTGCTCCCTCTTTTATCGCGCGCTTGAAGGTGATCGCGTGGACTTGGGTGCTTCGCATGCGGGGTCCCATCCATTTCGGTAATTCGTGATAGTGCCCATCGATCTTGATGCTGCAGCTGCCCGTCGTCCAGTCGATTCTCGGGTTGTACTGTCGTAGCCAGTCCCGTCCCAGCAGCACGTCACATCCGTCGAGTGTAGTCGCCAGCAGCCCCATCCGAAATTTTACGTGCTCGCCGCAGTGGAAACTGACGTGCTCCACCCGCTCCCGTATAGCCAACGGTGTACCGTCCACCAATCTTGCGTCGATTTCGGGTAGACACTTTAATAAAGGGATACCCATTTTCTTAGCCCTGTCGAGCTGTATGAGACTGTGACTCGCGCCTCCATCCATGAATATTTTCAGCAACACCCCGTTGACTTTACCCTCCACCAACACAGGATGGTCAGCAGTTTCGTCCCCCTTATTCGTCCAGGTCCGGTCGATTGCAGCAGTCGGGATCACGACCCGGTGGGGACTATGTGGTTCGGGCGAGGAAGCCTGCCCGTCAGTAAGGGGCCCGGTACTTACTGACGCGACCCATTTCCCGGTCGCTCCTCCGGCTTCTCCCCCATAGAATTCTGGATGGCTATGAACTCTTGGCAGTTGCGTTTGATGTGACCCGGTCGGCCACAGTGGTAGCATAGCCCCGTATTTCGCGGAGCAACTGCGTAAATGTCCACTGCGTCCATCCCTTTTATCGTAGTGCGCTGGTACTGTTCTCGAGGGCGACCTCCGTCGTAGAAGTTTGTCTTCGGCTTCGTGAGCGAATCAGCGGCTTCGGCGAGTTGGATGAAGTCTTGTAACCGTTTCGCAGGTCGTTGTAATTTTATCTGGTACTGTATTTCAGGCTTCAGCCCGCCCATGTACCTGTCGACCTTCTCCAACTCGTGCATGTAGCCACATCGATCCACCAACGTCAAGAATGACGCGGTGTAGTCGGACACAGGTCCCAGCTGCTTCCACATGCGTAAAGTTTCGCGCGCTTTGTTTGAGTCAGGAGCATGCTCAAACCGCTTGCGAAGCTCTGCGCACCACGTTGCCCACGTGCGAATGTGAGTTGCACCAAACAGCAAATCTGCCTCGTCTTCGTCACCGAATTCTTCGGACCACTCATGCTGTCCTTCTGTGCGAGTTGCCGCTGAGTCGACGATGACCTTCCACCACTGTAGAGCGGCCCCTTGCAGCAGTGTCAACGCGTGGCTGATCCGCTTCTGGTCGTCTCGGATGCCCGCCGCGTTAAAGTAGATATTCATGGCGAATATCCACTGCCGCACCGTCACGCATTTATTAGCTGGGTCGAAAGGAGCGGGTTGCTGATATCTCACGCCGCCACTTGTCGAGCGCGGGGCTGTCGCCGCTAGCCGTGCCAGCTCCACTAGTGTCGGTTGCTGCTCACCCGCCTCGCTTCGTGCATCGTCGCCCGGCTCCTCTGAACGCCTTTCCTGCGCCTGGCGAAGTCGTTGGTTTTCGTCACGGAGGTTGTTGACTACGCTTGTCAAATTATTCAACTGCTCCATTAATGCTTGCAGGTCTACTGTTTCCCGGGCAGATTTCGCAGCTGTCGAGGTTGTCTGTTCCTCAACCGTCGAGTCTACCGGGGCCATGGCGGTCAGGACGGGGCAGAAACTAGCGCACACGCTGTAGTTGTTGACGTAAAAATATTTACGATCAAAGGCAACTGCTGTGCAGCCGTGTTAATCCCCTCTAACCACCCTTAACTAACTAACTGGGAAAACGGAAGGTTCCGAGAAAGGTCGGGCTCTGATACCAGCTGTTATGATTTAGAAAACGTCAATGTACTAGAACGTGAGAATACAATGTCACTATTGCCATGAAAGCACGAGGTTATATAGGAGTGGACGTAATAGGGCGATAACCTCGGGACGTGGTTAGGTTCGGCAATGTGGCGACGCTGTCGGGCGCGACTCGAGAAAAGGTTGGGCCGAAAATGTAGGCCGAACGTGACGAGTCGAAGTGTTCGGGTGTACGCGGTAGCGGCCGACTCAGTAAGGAATGGAAATTCCTTACACCTGGTGAATCGAGTATGAACGCTTATGACACTCCGTGAGCGTAGGCCTTGCTCCATAGCATTTGTACCACTGTTGACGCTAGCGTTCTTCATTATTGGCTCCGTAGTCTCGGGATCCGGATGGGTACAGTGCGTCAGTAATTTCACTGACAATATGAGGGTACCAACCAATGGAAACGACTGAAACTGGATTTCGCGGGAAAAGTATCATTCAAAAGTGTCATCGGGGCGCAAAGTGTGAGTTTGCTGAGTGAGGCGAGGCGACTCGGAAAGGGGTTCTAGCAAAGAGAGCAGACTTCCGCACAGTCGCAGGCTGACGCGTCCCATGAAATCGGCACGATTTACAGGAGTGCCTGTCGGTGCACATGCCCAAAAATGCTCAGCCCTTCTGCCCGCTACAGTTTAGCCAGTCAAAAATCTTTCCGCAGGTGGGACCCCAGGGACTGACGGGCAGAAGAAGATTTTTGGGCCTGGGGGTGCTTGCACGCACCGCATCTACACAGCGCCTGCCCAGTGCGACTGCGACGATGTGATGCGATCGCCAATTGAAGGCTTGATCGAGCCGCGACGTCACCTCCACTCCATGCAACCCCCAGCTGAAAGCACAGCTTTTGCCACAACAGGTGCGAGGAAGCTGTGGTCCCTTGCAAAATGCGTAAAACCCAGGCTTCCTTTTCCTGCAGCTCGTCGGAACGTGTCTTGTCAACCCGCCATCACCATCGTAGCCGTCCCCAACCAATCCTCAACCTCTGCTCGTGTCAGCTGGCAGTACATCAGCAGACACCATGGCTGTTCAGCGAAATAGCACAGCAGCAGCAGATACTTTCTCCTCCAAGCCGTCTCCAACCTCGCGGAAAAGAAAACTCGTTTTCGGCTCCGAGTCCATTCCCGAGCGGTCTAGGCGCGTTCGTTACAGCCTGGACTCCGCTTCCACCACCCCCATTTTCGGCACCGCGACCGGCCGCTTCGACGACTACTTCGTGCTATGCTCCGCCACCCCCCTGGGATCCGGCAGATTCGGCGCCGTGCGTAAATGCGTCTGCAAGGCGACTGGCCAGGCCTTTGCTCGCAAAACGCTGCAGAAGAGAGAGTTAATCGGCGAGGCGGGGCGCGATGACGTGCGGCGCGAGGTGCGCATGCTGCAGCAAGTGGCGGGGCACCCCGGCATCGTGCAGCTGCACGCGGTGTTCGAAGACGAAACCGAGGTGCATCTAGTTACCGAGCTCTGCGACGGCGGCGAGCTGTTTGACGACGTCGTGCGACGCTGGCGACTGCCCGAGAAGGAGGCCGCGCAGGTGTTCATGCAGGTGGCATCGGCTGTCGCGTTCTGCCACTCGCGCGGCATTGTGCATCGCGACGTCAAGCCCGAAAATATCCTCTTCTGCTTCGACAAGAGCCATGGCCCAGCCGTGGAGAAGAAAACCGAAGTTTTCTCTCCCGCTGGTGCTAGCGGCACGAACCCCGTAGCGAGGAAGAGCGCGTTCGTCCCCGAGCCCGCGCCCCATCTCCGCGTGAAGCTCGCGGATTTCGGCCTCGCGCTCAGCATCGGCCGCGACGGCCGCGCGCGTGGCGCGGCGGGGTCGCCGTACTACATGGCGCCTGAAGTGTTCACCGGCGAGTACGGCTGCGCGGCGGACGTGTGGTCGCTGGGCGTCGTGCTGCACGTGCTGCTGTGCGGCGCCGTGCCGTTCTGGGGCGCGGACGAGGAGCGCACGATCGAGAGCGTGCTGACCGGCCGCCTCGATTTGGGGGAAGAGTCCGCGGCGTGGGCGGGCGCGCGGGTGTCGGCGGAGGCGCGCGGGCTGATTCGGTGCATGCTGGAGAGAGACCCGCGGCGACGACCGTCCGCCAGCAAGGTGCTCTCGCACCCCTGGCTGCTGCTGCACGCCTTCGGCGGACGCATCGTGCGCAAGGCCGTGCGCGGAGAGGCAGCACAAGCTGCCGCCGCGCAGAGCGCCGCGTGTTCCCCGCTGAAGCAGCGCGTTCTTGTCCCCGCACTGGTGTCACCGCCCGCCAACGCTAAGTCCGTCGCCATCTCTGTGGGGGTTGCGCAGATTGCGGGCGCGATGGACGCGGCAACAGCAGGCGCGCGCGGCACAGCCAGTGGACCCGCGTCACCTGCCTGTGGTGCGCGCGCGGAGGGGCGTGGGCTGGAGGAGCGGGCGGTGGCTCGCGTGCAGGCGTCCGCATGAACTTGTTGCAAGTGCATCGCGCCCAGTGAGTGCGCGCAGGAGCGAGCCGGATTGGTTGGCGAATGCAGGCGACGCCAGGGCGGCGAGGTGCATGCTTCCCCGATGAGTGGATTCCAGTGGCTCGTCTCCCTGCTGGCTGCGGCTGGCGGGTAAACAACGGGCTTAGTTTCTGCTGCCGTGCTTGGCAGTTTAGGAATCCAGAGGAGCTGTGTGTCCTTCACCAGGGTGTGGTTGCAGGTCGCACCGTGAAACGCCCTGTTTCCACGCGACGCGACCTGACCTGGGCTGTGGGTGCAAGTGCAGGTAGAGGTAGAGGCGACATGTTTAGCACGGAGGGGCATACGAGCAAACACATGTTTGCTGTGCCTCGCTGTTGAAGGTGTATTATTTGCTGTTGACTCACAGCAGATCATGTAGCTTGTTCATTAGCAATCTCTACCATTCTCACCTTACACCGTGTGAGGCTCTGTTTCAAATTCCAGCTAGGCACATGCATGGTCCCCCGTACCGAGCCTACGCCGTTGTCATGGTTGCACGTCCCTAGCCACTCGTCAGGCTGCAACATGCTACATGCTGGATGTCTTGGCATGCCGCGTGGCCCCTGAACCCATCTCTGCCCCGCTATGCACCTGTCCACAACACTCCATCATTTCACATGCCTGTGTTTCCCTGGTCTCTAGGTGCTGTCATTGCCATGTTCCTCCTGAGATCTGTTCTCAAACAAGGCACCCACTCTCCGATTGAATCCAGGCAGCTTCTTTAGAATCCGGAGGCTCGCAATCGAAAGCATCTGCGGTACGACGTCTCTCTCTCCGCGCCGACTCAAGTTCCCGTCCCTTACCCTCTCACAGTCTCGCCACCAGTGTCGCGTGGGCGCTTGCTTGCCGGTTGCCATGGGCAGCGATCAGAACGTCATTTCTGGAGGCATTCGCAGGAGGAGTGTCGACTACATTGGTACGAGTGTTTCTTGGTGCAGCAGGCCACTTGGGTCTACAACTGGTAGTGCTGTACGAGCAGCACAGCGCATCACTGGTTGTAGTTATCGAGGCCCATGTCTCTCAGCGCAGCAGAGCACACGTCGCGGCACGACCGGTGCTTTGCCTTGACCTTGCGAATGAGCGCCTCCAACCCCATCTCCACCATCATTGGCCTGACCACGGCAGCGGTGGGGGAGGGGACGAGGGGTGCGGAGTGGAGAGGGGAGGGGACGATGGGAGGGGGAGAAGGCATGGGGAGAGGGGAGGGGACGATGGGAGGGGGAGAAGGCATGGGGAGAGGGGAGGAGTGGGTTGATGCATATAAGATTGTTGCAGTATGCTCAGATGTCGCATGCAATGCGAGATGGTGGAGACGGGGGAAAGATTATTGGGAAGAAAAAGATGAAAAAGGATGGGTATCAGAAGGCACGATGAGAAGGCAAGATGAGAAGGCAAGATGAGAAGGCAAGATGAGAAGGCAAAGCAGGGAGCCAGGCAGAGGTGCAGGAGGCACAGAAGGCCCACCTCACCTGGTCGGGCAGGGCTTGGCACAGCCACATTCCGCAGCGCCTGCCACACTGGCGCGATATCACTGCCTCACGATCCCACCTACCAAGCAGGCACGGCCCCACCTGTGCTCGGGGTTGCGCACTGCGAGGTTGCGCAGCACCTGGCACGCCTGCCACTGGCTGCCCGCCGTGGCGCCGCGCCCCTCCATGGCGTCCACCGCTGCGTCCAACACCCCCGCCGCCACGGCTGCCGCCGCATGTGCGGGGTTGCGCAGAGTGAGGGCTGCCATGCACGCGAGGAGCTGCAGGGGCGCGCGGGGGGGAGGGGGGGCGAAGGGAGTTTGGGTGAAGTGGTTTAGGAGCATGGGAGGGGCTGCACTCAGTGATGGCTGCCAGGCGGGCGTGCAGCTGCGGAGGGGGGGGTTGGGAACGCAAGGAGGAGATGGGCGAGGGGGAATGTGAGGAGAGGGCCGGACACGAGCAGGCGAGGCAAGCGGTTTGGCGGGCACATGAGGCGGCAGGGTCCGTGAAATCGTTGCATCCAGCAATGAAGTGGCGATCGCCGGCGCCAGCGAGGAGGCGGAGGAAGGGGTGACTTTTGAGTCGACTCAACAGGAGGCGGAGGAAGGGAATGCCCGTGGAGGGACACCTGGGTGGGTGGACAAGCGCTCACGGCATGGCTGCGTGCAATGCAAGGACGGTGCATCCGCTCCCTCGCTGCCAATCGATGCGCGCGCACCTCTTGAAGCACAGCCCCATGGTGGAGGAACGCCTTCATGGCGTCCACCAACAGCGGCATGCCACCTGCCTCCACAATGAGCGCCTTGTTGGCGTCACTGCCTGCCAGCTGGCGATACAAGACAGGAGCAGGAGAGCAGAGTCGGGGGATACGTCCAGGGAGGTTGGTGGAGCAGACGGAGGAGGGAAGACATGCTAAGGGCAGGGCTGTGCTGGCGCCGTGGAGTGCAGCGGGGACGAAAACAGCAGGTGAGGTGGGCAATGGCAAGTAGATGGGGCCGGGGATCAAGGGGCAAGATGAGAGTTGGGTGTGTGGCGAAGTGAGTAGTGCGGGTGAGAGGATGGGTAGCGTGTGTGAGGTGGTGGGTAGTGTGCAGGAGAGGCCGGACAGCTTTTGAGTCGACTCAAAGCGGAGAGGCCGGACAGCAGCACTCACCTGCGCCAGCAGGGAGGCAGAGGGCGCAGCAAGCGAGGAGCAGTGCAAGGCGAGGGCCACCCGCAGCTGTCCCAGCACTAGAGGCACTCCGGCCTGGCTGGCGATGCTGCGGCAGATGTCCTCCTGGTGGGGTGGGGGGGGGCAGGGGGGATGGGATGAGGAGAACAGTGGGGGAGAGGGGGAGGTGCGGGAGGGGGGAGAGGTGGCATCTCCGCAGACGAAGGGAGGAGGCATGGGCTCAAGGGCACCCCGGCTTGTCTGGCTATGCTGCGAGAGATGCTCTCCTGGGGGGGAAGGGAAAGGGGTGAAGGGCTGGGAGGAAGAGCGGGGTGGCGAGAGGAGGGAGGAGTTATGGCAGACGAAAGGTGGAAACCATTGGATAAGGCGCTTGGGATAAATGGGCAAACAGGTGTCCTCCTCAGACTGGAGAGGAGGCGGGGGCATGGATAGGGTGTTAGCAGGGGGCATGGATAGGGTGTTAGCAGGGGGGTTAGGAGTGGAGAGCAGAGGTGGTTGCCGTGGGGCTTGGCAGTGTGTCACGTGCACCCACGTGGCCACCTCCCACCGCCACTCACGTTGACAGCGATGGCCTTGAGAGCAGCGAGCACGGAGGGCAGCACGGAGACATCGTTGGAGAAGGCAGCAGCGGCGCCCAGTAGCACGTCCGCTGCGCCGGCCTCCGCCATGGTGCGCGCATTCGTGAACGTCTTGGACGCCGCCACGCGCACATCGTCATTCGTCACGAGCGATCTCAGCGCCCCGCAGCACGCACACATGGCGCTCCCTGCTTCTGCCACGTCAGCTGCGCTCGTGTCCACGTCAGCACTGCCCTTTTTCTTGAGGATTCCGCCAACGGCGTTCAAGATGGCCACGTGGACTGCTCCTTCCATAAGTGCCTCCTTGATGACCTCGTTTTCCGTGCACGCTGCCCGTACAGTGCAGGCAGCTGCGGTCAAAAAGCGGAGGCTAGAGGAGGAGGAGGAGGCAGCAAGGGCGGAGGCGAGGAGAGAGGGGCCGGACAGGCGGAAGAAGTCGTCGCGCGCCCCTGGGACTGGATGGGGGGGGGGGAGGGGGCGAGCAAGAAGAGGGGAGGGGAAATACTTGGGACGAGATGGGGATGCCGCGGTGGCGCGTGCGGCATGGCAAGGCCTGCCATCTGCAGCATGCGACGAGCAGAGCAGCGCGCACAGGGGCTGACATGCGCAGCGTGCACTCACCATGCGTCAGCATCACCTCCATGCATCTCAGCGCGTCACACAAGGCCTCCTCCCCCCTCGCCCTCCCCTCCCCCCCCTCCCCTCCCTCCTCCCCCTCCGCCCCGCTCTCCACCGCCCCCAGCGCCACTCTCAGCGCGCCCACTGCTGCGTGCAGCCCGTCGCTACGCCCTGCCACCCGCGCTGCATCCCCTGACCCCACCCCACCCCCTGCTGCTGCTGCTGCTGCTGCCCCACCTCCCTCCCCCCTAACCCCTTCCTTCTCCGCCTCCCCTTCCTCCCCCTCCTGCTTGGCCCTGTCCTCTGACGTGTCGCCCTCTGATTGGTCGGCGGTGTCTACAGCCCCCTTGAAGGCGGAGAGAGCGAGGAGCACTGCCTGTGAGAGGAGGGCGGAGAGGAAGAGAGGAGGGGGGGACGAAGGAGGAGGGAGAGAAAGGAAGGACTGAGAAGGACAGAGAAAAGGATGGAGGAGGTGCTCTCATAGTCACACTGACGCGAAACTCTAGTTCTGCCAGTTTTCCACACTCTCCCTCCCTCTCACCCTCATTTATCCACCCTCCCCCCCCCTCATCTTCTTCCTCCCTCAACCTCGCTCTCTCTGCGCTCTTTCTTTCCCACCTCCCTCCCTCACTCGTGCCTCACCCTGCACCCTCCCACGCGTTGAGCTAAGCGCCACAGCAACTGCCAGACCTCCCCGCTCATTCCTCACCTCGCATGCCACAAATGCCCCTTCCTTCCCCAGTCTGCCACAGACTTCCTCAGCTGCCTCCCGGCCACAACACCCTCCCCCAAACCCACCCTTTCCCCGCCCCCAACAGCCCCCTTTACACTCACATGGAATTCAGCGCCACTATAAGCACCTGCCCCCCCCCCCCCCCCCGCTCTTCCCACGCTGCCAGCGCCTCCCTCAGCTGCGTGGCTGCCAGTGTGGCCAGGTGCTCCTCGCGCTGCCCTGATGCGCTGTACGCCGTCACGATGCCTGGGCGCGCGCACACACGGGGTGGAAGGGCCAAGGGGGACGAGGTCACAGAGGTCACAGAGGTCAGCGCCAGGTCACACGATGCAGGGCTCAGCGCAATGCTGGTGAGGGGCGTTTCGAGGAGCGTGAGCGCTGGGCCGTGGGGCACGAGGGGCAGTCAGCGGGCCCAGCAACTCAGGAGAGGTGCACGGCTGCTGAGAGGCGGTCCGCGCAGCCACGATCGATGAGAGGGCACAGCGAGGCGGATGGAGGACCGAGGGAGATGCTGGGCGAGGAAGGGAGGGGGGGAGGGTGGCATTGGCGGGCGGACGATCACCCGCGCAGGGCACGTGAGAGGGTGCAGGGGCAACCAGTCCCGCCTGGGCAGCGGCTTCACCAGCAGCTGCCATCCCTGAGAGGGGGGTCGACCTGGAGGTGAGAGGAAAATGGACGGGTGAAATCAAGTGTCATAATGTGGTAGCCATTCGTCGACCTTCATAGGAGTTGAAGAACAGCAGCGCCCCGCAATAGAATGCAAGCCATTCCCCACGAACTGCAGTTGAGGTTTGCCGAAGCATCGCTCTGCCAGCCATCAGCCATGTTTAACTTGAGCGACTCCAGCCGAGCCGTCCCCACCAGTGTGGTGGGCGCCTTGCATTCCAAGGGGTTGAGGGCATCCTGCAGTGCGTCCTCTCTGCCCATGCCGGCCCCCTCGCACCCGCGTCTCCAACCTACACCTTCCATCCGCTGAGATCGCCTCCGTGCATTCCGAGGGTTCGCACGGCATCCTCCACCGCCTGCTCCGCCTGCATGCCGAAATCCTCCATGTTTTCCCCAGCAGCGTCGTAAAGCATACAGCCTCCCACCTGTGAGGTCGGCGCCCTGCATCGTGAGGGTGTGCACGGCGTCCTCCACGGCCTCGCCCGCCGCCATGGCGAACTCCTCCATGTTCTCCCGCACCAACCCGTCGAACGCCTCCTGCGTCACCGCGTGCCGCCCCATTGCCCCCATCGCGCTCCGATTGCCGCTCCCTGCTTCCCGCTCCCCGCTTCCTCCTCGCCGCCTGAGATGGCGCACGGAACGACACGGAGCAGCGCGGAGCAGCGCGGAGCACGAGGATGGACGGAAGCAGCTCGTGGACATCGGGCCAGGGGCGTTCGAAAGGTTCACTCGAGCGACCATGGAGTGAATTCATGCATCATCCAAAAACTGTCGCAACGAAACCTTACCTGTAAGATAAGGACCCCGGTGGCAAGGAGCTGGAAGGGAGCTTGTGCGCGCTGATACGCTAGCCTAGGGGGCTCTCCGCTCCTGATGGCATGGAATGTCGTTATGCAATCGGTGCTCGTGCTTGCGCGCACTTGGCGAGCAGGCTTTGGATGCACGATTGGAAACCATGGCGGGAAGATGGACAAGACGGGTTGCATTGGGAGCTGCCGCCATGACCAATCCCATTGGCTGCACCGACAAAGTCTGACACTCAGAACTGTCAGATACTGTACAAAGTTACCTAATGATTAGAGCAACTGTAACAGGGGATTCTCTTATTTTCTCCTACTTTTATTTACCACATATTTTGGGATTAACAATAACAGGAACCACCATACATGTAAACAACACGTTCCGTAGTGCAGCTAGTCTAAATGAGCAGACGTCGAGGATCTGAAAGGTTTGCCGAAATTGCAGAAAGTAGCTTGCCTGCAAAAAGCCGCCAGCCGGGGGGGGGGGGGGGTGAGGGGGGGGAAGGGGGAAATGGGAAGGGGTAGAGTGGGCTGCTCACAAGGATATATTTCTAAATGGGGAGCATGACAGGCCAGTCACTAATATATCCAACACGAAGGAGCAGGACAAGAACAGGCTGCAAGAACAGGCCGCAAGAACAGGCCGCAAGAACAGGCCGCAAGAACAGGCCGCAAGAACAGGCCGCAAGAACAGGCCGCAAGAACAGGCAGCAAGAACAGGCCGCAGGCCACAAGAACAGGCCGCAAGAACAGGCCGCAAGAACAGGCCGCAAGAACAGGCCGCAAGAACAAGCCGCAAGAACAGGCTGCAAGAAAAGGCTGCAAGAAGGCACGTCATTCCCTACTGGCATGCCTCACCTGCAGTGTTGGCATCGATGGCGCGCGCATCAGCTGAGAGAGTGACCTCCATCTTGGTCGCCGGCTGCAGCTGCAGGCCGTCTGCAGGGGGAAGAGAAAGAGGAAGACGTGGGGAGGAAAAAGAGAGGAAGAATCAGAGAGGCGAAGTGTAGGAGGGAGAGACAGAGCAAAGAAGGAGAAGTGGAACTATGTCACGAGCACTCTCGATTCCACACCGCCCACAATCGTCCTTCATCAACCTCACATCCAACAAAAGCCCTCAGCAATGTTTCCGCAATTCTGTCACATGCATGCACCATTCCCTCATTACTGTCACACACGTGCACCACTCCCTCATTACTGTCACACACGTGCACCACTCCCTCCTCCCGCCCGGGGCAGCGACCTGCAGAGGACTCGGAGGGCAGGCGCAGCACCTTCTCGCCGCGGCCCACCGCCAGAATGCCGGACTGCCACCGCCGCACAGGGGCACAGGGGCACACGGAAACAGGGGCACATGGAAACAGGGTCACATGGAAACAGGGTCACTCTTGAGGGGTTGGAATGAGAGGCCTTGGGAATGACGAAGCACTTTCCGAATGCGGTGCAGGCTTCCAACACTCAACCACGACAGTCATGCCCCATGCCCCATGCCCCATGCCCCCCCATCCCATGTCAACCCAAGCCATCCCATGGCCCCATGCCAACCCATGCCCCCTGCCCCATGGCCCATGAGCAGGGTACCTGAGGTGGGTTGATGATGGCGGAGAAGCGGTCGATGGCGAACATGCCCAGATTCGAGATGCTGCGGGCATGGCGGACGGGGGGGAGGGCAGGGGAGCAGTGCGGACCCGTAGGGGCAGATTGGGGTTGAGGGGGAGGGGGTGAAGATTTGGGGGGGTTAGGACAGGTGGGGGCATGGAGTTGGCGGGCCATGGTAAATGACACCATGCATCATGCTGTGCATGCATACTGGGAAACAGTGGGGATGGAACCGAACGAGGGGAAGACGAGGTGGAGAGGCAGGGAAGCAGAAGCTGCCATGACGAGGCAACAGAGTCCGGAAAATGATCCTCTCGTGCCGAGGCTACATACCTGAGAGCTCACCTGAAGCGTCACCTGCTGACACCCCCTAGGCGCACCTGAAGCATCACCTGCTGACACCCCCTAGGCGCACCTGAAGCATCACCTGCTGACACCCCCTAGGCGCACCTGAAGCATCACCTGCTGACACCCCCTAGGCGCACCTGAAGGTGCCCCCTTGGAACTCGTGCGGCTGCAGCCTGCCCGCCCTCGCCCTCTCCGCCAGCTGCTTCACCTGCCACGGGCGGTGGGGGGGGAGAAGGGTGGGGAAGAAGGGGAGAGAAGCATGGAGGGAGGAGTGGGCGCTGGGGGAAGGAGGTGGCGGTGGCGGTGGTGGGGGCTGTGGAGACGGTAGGAGATGGTAGGAATTCGTAGGAGACGGTATGGAGATGGTAAGGCAGCTCGAGATTGTGCAAGATAAAGATCTGAAGTGAACCGGTAGAGGCAGCTGCTTCTGCCACCTCCCCAGTAGCTTGAGCAGCACTGGAGCTGACAACGAGCGGCCACCAAGCGGCGATGGGGGGAGGGGGGATGTGGTTGGGTGTGGTGGGGGCGATGGGGCACAGCAGGGTCGGTGCAGTGAAATGGATGGGCGTGGCAGGGCCGTGGCAGGGCCGTGGCAGGGCCGTGGCAGGGCCGTGGCAGGGGCGTGGCAGGGCCGTGGCAGGGCCGTGGCAGGGGCGCGGTGGGAGGAGCAGGGGCGTGGGGCTGACCTCTTTGGAGATAGCTCCGAGGGACTTTTTGTCCGCATCCTTGAGAATGGGGGTGATGAGACCCTGATGCACGCAGGCAGGCAGCCGTGCACACACGCATGCAGGCACACACTCATGCAGGCACACACGCATGCAGGCACACACGGATGCAGGCACACACTCATGCAGGCACACACGCATGCAGGCACACACGCATGCAGGCACACACGCATGCAGGCACACACTCATGCAGGCACACACGCATGCAGGCACACACTCATGCAGGCACACACGCATGCAGGCACACACTCATGCAGGCACACACGGATGCAGGCACACACGCATGCAGGCACACACGCATGCAGGCACACACGCATGCAGGCACACACTCATGCAGGCACACACGCATGCAGGCACACACGGATGCAGGCACACACTCATGCAGGCACACACACATGCAGGCACACACGCATGCAGGCACACACGCATGCAGGCACACACGCATGCAGGCACACACGCACGCAGGCAGACACGCATGAAGGCACAAGGAGAAGGAGGCACACACGCATGACGAGAGTGATGCCCTGTGAACGCCCTCTCTCTGCCCTGTGAACGCCGCTCTCTCTGCCCTGTGTACGCCCTCTCTCTACCCTCTCTCTACTAGACCTGAAGAACCGAATACGAATTCGAGTTCGAGTTCCACATTCGAATAATTGTCGAATATCACGATACAAATTATTTGTTCGAGTTGTGTTTGGAATTCGAATACGAATTCGAGTCGAATAGAGTCGAGTCCGAGTCGAATACGAATGCACTCGAGTTTTGGGCATATGAGCGTTTACAAGCTTTGTGAAGTTACCCTTGGAGTTTGTTATCGGTTTTTTGGGCGTTGCCGTGCTTGCAGGTTTGCACAAGAAATTGGAGGGGTTGTACAAGTGACAAGTGAAGCTTTTTAGCAGCATCGCGTAGCGTCGAAAGCATTAGGACCTTTGATGCTAGGCAATTAAATGCTAGTAGGAGCCAGGTATGTCCAAACTCGAGTACTAAAACGAGTACTCGAGTTATGGCTGGGCGAATACGAATTCGAGTCGAATATTGGAAGTCGAGTTTTGGCGAGTTTGAACAGCCACATAGACTCGATTTGTATTTGAAATTCGTCCGAATTCGAATACAAATTCGAATATAGTCTACTCGTTTTCAGGTCTACTCGTTCATCATCCCCGCCCATCACCCCTCCCATCATCCCCGCCCATCAACCCCTCCCATCACCCCCTCCCATCACCCCCTCCCATCACCCCCTCCCATCACCCCCTCCCATCACCCCCTCCCATCACCCCCTCCCATCACCCCCTCCCATCACCCCCTCCCATCACCCCCTCCCATCATGCCCTCCGTGCCAGAGAGCCCGCCCCACGGCGGACCTTGTCAGTGGCGACGGCGATGGAGATGTCGATGCTGGAGTTGCTCACCAGCTGCGCCCTCTTGGCGTCCCAATGCACTGCGCGCGCCCACCACGGGGTGGCACAGAGGGAGAGAGGTGGTGCTTGCCAGGTGCGGCAGCGCAGTGAGCGGAGGTGGCAGCGGCATGGCGTGGTGATGGGACGGAGGGGTTGGCCGGGGGGAAATGATTTGAATGGGGGGCAAGAAGGGGGGGCAAGAAGGGGGGCAAGAAGGGGGGGCAAGGACGGTCAGCAAAGGTGTGTCGGCACAGTGAGGGCGAGCGAAGAAGGTCACTGTGACTGTATAAAGCACAGCGCCAGCACGAAAACAGAGGGGGAAAGGTAACACACAGCTCGCACAAGGTCACGAAAACCACCAGCTCACCATTGACCTGACCACAGCCCCATCAGCGGCTCACCGTTGGCCTCGGTGACTTCACTGAGCGCCTCACCGTTGGCCTCGGTGACTTCACTGAGCGCCTCACCGTTGGCCTCGGTGACTTCACTGAGCGGCTCACCGTTGGCCTCGGTGACTTCACTGAGCGCCTCACCGTTGGCCTCGGTGACTTCACTGAGCGCCTCACCGTTGGCCTCGGTGACTTCACTGAGCGCCTCACCGTTGGCCTCGGTGACTTCACTGAGCGCCTCACCGTTGGCCTCGGTGACTTCACTGAGCGCCTCACCGTTGGCCTCGGTGACTTCACTGAGCGCCTCACCGTTGGCCTCGGTGACTTCACTGAGCGCCTCACCGTTGGCCTCGGTGACTTCACTGAGCGCCTCACCGTTGGCCTCGGTGACTTCACTGAGCGCCTCACCGTTGGCCTCGGTGACTTCACTGAGCGCCTCACCGTTGGCCTCGGTGACTTCACTGAGCGCCTCACCGTTGGCCTCGGTGACTTCACTGAGCGCCTCACCGTTGGCCTCGGTGACTTCACTGAGCGCCTCACCGTTGGCCTCGGTGACTTCACTGAGCGCCTCACCGTTGGCCTCGGTGACTTCACTGAGCGCCTCACCGTTGGCCTCGGTGACTTCACTGAGCGCCTCACCGTTGGCCTCGGTGACTTCACTGAGCGCCTCACCGTTGGCCTCGGTGACTTCACTGAGCGCCTCACCGTTGGCCTCGGTGACTTCACTGAGCGCCTCACCGTTGGCCTCGGTGACTTCACTGAGCGCCTCACCGTTGGCCTCGGTGACTTCACTGAGCGCCTCACCGTTGGCCTCGGTGACTTCACTGAGCGCCTCACCGTTGGCCTCGGTGACTTCACTGAGCGCCTCACCGTTGGCCTCGGTGACTTCACTGAGCGCCTCACCGTTGGCCTCGGTGACTTCACTGAGCGCCTCACCGTTGGCCTCGGTGACTTCACTGAGCGCCTCACCGTTGGCCTCGGTGACTTCACTGAGCGCCATGGCCACTGCCTTGATCACAAAGTCGTTCACCGACACCGCCACCTGCCACTTGTCTGCCATGCAGCAGGCGGGGCGCAGGAGAGGACACGAGGGGGGGACGGGCAGTATCTAGCCTCCTGCCACTGGCCTGTACCACACGACGCATGTGACTCAGGGGCGCGATTGAGGGGCTCCTCCTATCCCAGTACCCTCTGCCCTGCCTTCACCCCCAGCGCCCTCTGCCCTGCCTTCACCCCCAGCGCCCTCTGCTCCGCCTTCATCCCCAGCGCCCCCCGGCGTACCTTTGAGCTCCTTGCGCAGCTGCAGCGTGGCGTCGATGTCCGCGTCTGCATGCCGCACGGAGCGGTGCAGGGCACGGGGAACAAGGGAGGGCGCGAGGGAGGGAACGGGGGAGCAGGAGGGAGAACGAAGGGGCGAGGCTCAAAGGAGAGAGGGCGACAGGGGTGGGAGAAGAGATCTAAGGGCATCGGGAGGACACTTGGCTTAGCTGGGAGGCAGTAGGTGCGAAAGCACAATAAGTGGGCATGCAGGTGGCAATGGCCAGCCAGCATGAGAGTGTGTGAGCGACCATCACCGGCCCCCGGCCCCGTCCCTCCCTCAGCTGCCCCACCTGACTCCGCATATAAGTGCGGCGACCCCCACTTGGACTCCATCAGCCGCTGCGCGATGATCTGCATGCCATGGTAAGGAGCGGTGGAGAGGGATGGAGAGGGATGCCAAGGGGATTTGGAGGGGGGTTCGTAAATGTGGGACATGCGAGACGAGAGCGGGGAAACAGAGGGGGAAGGGAGGGGGAGCAGACACGATGATTGGATGGGGAGAGCAAAAGGGGTCATGAAAATGGGCGAGGTAAGAAGGATGAGGGGAGCGGGGGGAATGGGGGGGGGGGGGGGGTGTCGGGGAGGGCAGGAGACGGGGCAAGAAAGAGCTCTGTGCGGCCAGGCCCTGGCAGATCTCACCACGTTCCGCCATCCGCTGTCTATGACCCCCACCCCCCCCCTGTGCCTCACACCCAGCCCACTGCGTGCCACTCACCCGGCGGATCTGCGTGGTGGGGATGTCAACGAACGCCCCTGCCGCTCCTCCCAGCGCGGGCGCTGCTGCCGCTGCAGGCGCGGGGGGAGGGGCAGGAGCAGAGGGGGGGACGGGAGCAGCCGTGGGCGCAACTGCAGCAGCGGGGGAAGGCGGGGGAGCAGGAGCAGGGGCGGCAACGGGAGCCGCTGCAGCAGAAGCCGAGACAGCAGGAGCAGCAGCAGTGGTGGCAATGCTCCTTGCACTGGCAGCAGCGGCGGCAGCAGCAGCGCTACGAGCAGCAGCGGCGATGGCGGCGAGGGCGTCCCCCTTGGTGACCACCCCCTTGGGCCCGCTGCCCTGCACGCTCTGCGGGTCAACACCGCTGCCCGCAAGCAGCAGCCGCGCGGCGGGGCTCACCACCTTGTGCATGTTGAGGGCGGCGGCGTGGAACGGGCGGCAAGCGGTGGCAGCATGCATGGGGGGGGTGCCAGCAGCGAGGGATGGGCCGAAACTTGTGTTGGGTGTGAGAGTAGCGGAGGTGACAGAGGCGGGGGGGAGCAACCCACCAGCAGGGGCGGAAGGGGAGGTGGTGGCGGCGACAGGGGCGGCAGTGTGGGTTGTGGCGATAGTGGCGAGGGGGCGAGGGGCGTCCACCTGATGGAGCACGGGGGAGGCGGATGGGAGGAGCGCGCGCACATGCACACATGGCGGAGACGTGTCGTATTAGATGATGGCATGCGAGTGCAACGCCATGGCGGACACCTTGCAGCACGGGCCTAGAGAGATGAAACTCCCACAGAGAGATGAGCAACGAACGACGCCAAGAGGCGTGATGCCAGATGACGTTTGACTCGAGTGGAAAGTGACCTCACGCTAAACGCGTTCTCGGAACACAGCGCATGCGCGCGAAACGCGCACAAGGCTGCGCGTGAATTCCGCCTTGACTGGCATGAGCGTCTACCGCCCGCTCGCATGCTGCTCGCTCGCCTCGCGTGCTGAGAGATCTGAACGAGCATAGCGTCGGATCCACTCACCCCTGCTCTAGCGCCTCCCGCGACGGCCACACCTCTCGCGCCAGCTGGCACGAGCGCATTGGCCAGGAGCCTGCAGGGAGAAAGATAGCAGCGGGGAAACAAGGCAGGGAAGCGTGGAGGAGGAAGGCGAAGCCATATTTGCCACGCGAATCAACAGCGAGCGGTGACCGCCTATCGCTCGCTTTCTTTGCTCCCACAAGCATAGCTACGCCGAGCGCATGCCTACAGCGCGCGGTGCCCCAAGCGGTGCCACGAATATCGTTCTATAGCATCGCATGCCTTGGGAGCTCGTCCGCGAGACCGACCAAGCGCCATCCCCCACGAGCCAGCGAGATCCGGCCCTACCTGGAATGTCTGGCGACGGCGCGCGACATGATGGCGACACAGCCACGCGGAAACGTGAGACGGCAACGCGGCAGAAGATAGGCACGCGAATCCGCACCAGCTCAGACGGTCGACGAACCACCTCACCTCCGGCGCGCGCTGCGACGAAGCGGACGAATCGAGGTGCCTCGAGAAAGCGAGGAAGCCTTCGGGAGTCGGACTAACCGCTGACTGGTTCGTCGACGGCACCAAGGGGGAACTTATTTCGACAGGACGGGGTGTGCAAGGAGCGTGGTGGAGCGAGGTGAAAAACTATGCGAATTGGCGAATTGTTCTTTGTAACCAGTGGAGCACGGCACATAGGCATAGGCTTTGGTGCATAGGTATCGAGAGAATCTCGCGAATCCCGGCCCGTGCCAAAACTTGGAATAAAAACGCACGGGTTGAATTCAACCGCGCATCGCGCCCCGCACGTCGGAATCCGATCTCCGATTACCCGCGCTCTGCTTTGTATAAAGGTTTCTTATAAAGTAACAGATATACACGGGTATTGTCATAGTTACCCTTTCTCTTACAAAACTCGGGAATTTCAGGCAGTTGCAGTCTACATGCGCCTCGTCAGGCTCAGGGAGCACTGTAGCCGCGCCCATTCCGTCAATTTCGCCACGCGTGCGCGAAATTTTAGATCACGCACTGCGTGGCGAGATTGACATGAATCGGCGCGGCTACAGTGCTCCCTGAACCTGACGAGGAAACGATAGACATACACCCAGTTTGAATCGTATCCGACCGAAACTTTTCCGAATCTTCAAATAAGCTATTTTCTGTGGAGTCGCCCAAACCTGACACAGTCAGCCACATTTTGGGGATATATACGTACAGTATTTTTGCGCAGCCGAGAAAAACAATTAACCCATAGGGGCCCAGCATGTGACTCGGGGTGGCATCAACCCTAAACTCGAAAAAGGGCCGCGAATTTAGGGTTGATGCCATCTTGAATGGCATGTCCGGCCCCTATGGGTTTTATTTATTTGCCCAAGATGCTGCCTAAAATGTCTTTGTCTAGTTTTGCATTTACTGTCGAATTGCAGCGCAACAAATTTTGCTGTGAGGTTCTTGTCGCGAAGGCACAACGCTACACGTCAGTCCGAAACTTTTGACTGTGCATGGCCAAGAATCTCGCCTCTCATTGGCGCAAAATTTTACAGTATATTATTTTCGAATCGTTTTTTGATTTGGGTGCAGATTTGTAATTTCCTTGAACATGACGAGGCGCATGTAGGCTGCAGCTGCCAAAAAGTTTTTGAGTTTTGAAAGAGAAAGGGGAACTGCGATAATACCCGTGTATATTTGTTACTTTATAAGAATCCTTTATACAAAGTGGAGCGCGGGTGTTTGGAGATCGGATTTCGAAATGCGGGGCGCGAAGCGCGATTGAATTCAACTCGTGCGATTTTATTCCAGCTTTCGGCGCGGGCCGGAATTCGCGAGATTCTCTCATAGGTATCAATGTGACTGCCACAGCCCTTCAAGCCGCTCCCGTCCCAGAGCCCAGCGATTGGTTGGATCAGCCGCAGATTCTGGGCAGAGTGAGCCAGCAAGTAACGGAGCTGACACAAGAGAGGATGTCATGAATCCAACCAGAATGATATACTGGGGGTGTACTTCCGATCTTACAAGGGGAGTATACAAGCAAATACGCCCTCCCCAAATTAGTTGCAAGGGGTGGTTGGGTGGTAGCTGTGTTGCCTACTGGACACCCTCCATAGTAGCCTAGCCACCCTGATTTCATGGTCGTATCACTGTTTTGTTTTTGTTAGGTATGTCTCACACTAGATTATTGCTACCAACCCAAGACGATAGACTATGTTGAGATCAATATTAAAGTATACCTAAAACTTGTCAGGAAAGAAGAATGAATCAAACTCCCTAAGGGGCAGCTATAATGCTAGAGCAACAGACAAGCTAGTATAGTAAGACCAATGGAAGGGCTAGACCCACGGGCAGACCCCCAAGGTCCATTCCCTCTCGTCTCCTCAAACCACAATCCACTCACGACGCCTTCTTTCTCCGTCTTCTCTCCCCATTCACTCCTCCGACTTGGTGGCGTCCACGGCGGGGTCGGGCCGCCACATGGTTTTGCGGAAGGTGAGGAGCGTCTCGTTGTGCTTCTGGATGCTGGAGACGGCGTCCCAGTGCATGCCGCGCGCCACGGCCTGGATGAGCTTGATGTGCGACGCGTCCACCTCCCGCACGATCACGTAGCCCAGCGGCCGCAGGATGCGGTCCATCTCCAGCATCACGTCCGCCACGCCGCACCTGTGAGAGGGTGGGGGAAGGAGAGAGAACAATGAGAAGGGGCGTGGAAATACACAAGGGAAGGGCGTTTCGGCGAATTGGGAAGGGCACAAAGGAGGGCGGCAGACAGGGGGGGTTATGGGAGAAAGGCATGCTGGGGAAGGTTTGCAGGGAGGAAGCGCAGGAGGGGGAGGGGGAGGGGGAGGGGGGCGCTTACTTGGAGCTGGTGGCGAAGGAGCCGAGGAGGCGGTCGGCGTGCAGCATGTCGTAGGTGCGGGGGTAGGTGTTGAACGACTCGCACCAGTCGTGGTACACGCCCAGCAGCCCGCGGTCGAAGATGATGGGCAGCGTGTCGGGGCTCGTCACCGGCACCACGTTCATCGTCCACACCGGCTTCGCCGACGCCTCCAGGGCGGCGCCGAACCTGGTGAGAGGTGAGGGGAAAGGGCGGAGGAGGGCGGGCCGTTCAGCTTCACAGCGCATGGTGCAACATGGAAGGCATGGAGAATCTGTGGAGCGCTGTAATGCTTGCTCGGGAGCACAAGCAGCCTGCCATTCGCGAGTGATCGCTCGATCTAGTTCACGTGTGATTGGTCTTCTAGCCTTCGCTTTGTCTTTCCCTCGTGCATCCACACCCGGGCATAATCACTACAAGCTCCACAACCATCCAGTTGTACCCGTTACTAGTCAAGCACGTACCCGCCGTAGTGTGCGTCCATGTCCATGACGTTGCGCACGGAAGCCCACTCGATCTCCATCTCCGTGAGGTACGTGCGGTACGCGCGCAGCCAATGCGCCTTGTCCGCGTCGAACTCCACCGCCGCGCGCCGCCCGTAGATGCCCTTTTGCACGCCCTCCAGCCACGCGGGCACCACGCTCAGACGGTCCTTGCCCTCCACCGGCCACCCCACGCCACGTGTCTTCTCCTTAGTGGGCACGCGGTGCATACACGCCTGGATCGGCACGTACCTGCATGGGAGCGTAACGCATATACGGAAACCGAGGTTTGAAGGACGACAACAAGGCGCATTACCAGGAGAACTATCGAAGTTACGCGCAAGAATCAAAACAAAAGGGCGAATGGTTGGGGCAAGGTCGCGGGGGGAGGGGAGGGGGCGGCGTGGGGGCAAGCGAGGGGATCGAGGGGAGCGATGAGCGGGGGCGTACCAGGCGGCGTCGGCGTTATCCTCCTCGGGGCACATGGGCGGCACGGTGCCCTCGTCGCGGCTGTCGTAGCAGTCGTTGTCCGTGGGCTTCTGCCACACCATCACGCCCACGCCGAACGCCATGTTGATCTCCTTGGCCGCCTTGCGCCAGCACATGTTCGCCGTCAGCTCCGACATCGCTGCAGCCAAGAGTGAAGGGGAGAGGCACAAGGGAGAGAATCCCGGGACCAATCAGGGATGGCCAACCGCTTGGCGGGCGCGGACGGAAGGACACCGTGCAAGACACGAAGTGGGAGCGACGGGGACGAGAGGTGGAAAGAACCGTGTGGGTGAGCTCACCCTCCCAGATCTCCTTGTCGTCGGGCTCCTTGGCCTTGCACTTGGGGCAGACGGGCGTGGCGGACCACACGAAGTAGCCGCCGGGGCGGATGACGCGGTTGAGCTCCAGCAGCAGCTTGCCGCCCTCGCGGTGCCACGGCACGCGGCACCGCGCGCAGTGCACGATGTCGAACACGTTCGACGGGTATGGCTGGCGCTGCGTGCCCATGACGCCGATCATGGCGCTGACGCCGCGCTCGAGCGCGAACTGGATCTGCGCGTCGTGCTCGTCCTTGGGCGCCACCGACATCACGCGCGTGCTGAACGGCTCCAGGTACGCCGCGAAGCTGGCGACGCCGCAGCCCATGTCGAGCGCCGTGCGGATGTGCTTGCCCCAGCTGAGGAAGGGCACGGCCTCCTGCAACCACTCGATGTACTTGGTGGCGCCGTACTTGAACTGCGTGCCGCCGCCCGGGAAGATGAACTTGTCGCCCTCCGGCTTCACCCAGTTCTGGTCCGCCTTGTACGACGCCAGCTTCGGGTGCGGCACGTTGTCGTACCAGATCTGCGCGTTGACAGATGTACCACATCAGGAACCGCAGTCACATACGAAGACCCTTTTCCTATGTTGAAAAAAGTTCCCAAGACAGGAAGCGGAGAGAGAAAGAAGAGAATGAGGGGAGATCCAATACCTGATCCCTGGACTCAGGCCAGTTGATGTGGGGCTTGTAGCCGCTGGGCAGAGGCAGCAGGCACTGCAGAGTGTCGTCGCCCGTGGGGCAGTGCCGCTCGCGGTGTTCGTAGTGCGAGCGCGACTTGAGCGCGGCGATGGCCTTCTCGTTGTCGAGGCACGGGATGTGGTCCACGCCCTTGTCGGCGCACAGCGAGTACTCAAACGCCAACTCCGGCTCCTACAGGCGGGAATGCGAATCCGATTGTAGTCAGAATCCGACCACAGAGGAAACCGAAAAACAGCGAGAAGTAGGGAGGCTAAAGGATTACCTCCTCCATGGGTTCGGAGTCTTTGGGCGACTTGGACACGCCACCTATAGACGCCGATTCGGCGGATTGGAAGCTCTCCACATCCCCCGCGGACAAATCCGGTTGGGAAAATACGGCCTGCGCGTGAGGCAGAGATGGATTAATACTGGGATACTGGGATTTTGCTCGGATCTTCACCGTTCAGATAGGAAGTAACAATAGGAGGCCGCTGCTCACCTTAGGTTCGCCGATATCGGCGTCGGGCGTCTCGGTGATGTCGACGCTGTCCTCCACCACGACAACCTGCCCGCCGGTTCCCACGCGAGAGGTTTCGATTATCACTTCAGTGGCCTGGCAATGGTAAGGCGCGAGATTAAAACATCGTCCGATAGGGGTGGTCGTTCGTTGATTCGTGACAGCCGCATTCGTTGTTAGCTTGTGTGTAATCTCGTACCGTTGGTGGAGGATGGCCGGACTTGGCGAAGAGCCAGACGCCGAAGAGGCAAAACGCGACGAGGAGGCATGCTGGTAGGAAGTTGGTTTGTGTCTCGTACGCATGCCGCTTGAGACCCATTCTGCAAAAAGCTGATCTGGAAACCAAACTCTGTCGAGCTACTAAACTTGAAAGTACACTGTCCTCCTACAAGAAGAAGCTGTAGACTTCTGAGCAGACCAAGGGGGTCAGTGCTTCGCGAGACCAACTCACAAGACAGAGATCTGGTTCTGTTCTCCTCGCCTCGCCTCTGAATTTGTTCTCCCAAGTTTCAGAGCCGTTGTGTTGGGGTGGCTCGTCAACCCGCAGAAACTATCCAGGTGCGCGCGGGAAGCTCAATGCCGCATGAAGAGGGGCGGTCTGAGACGGGCACGCGGAACCTCGGGGAAGGGAGGCACTGGGAAAACCCGCAAGCCTGGGAAGGGGTTCGGGGAGGGGGAAAAGAAAAGGTGGAGGTGAGGAGCCCGGTCCAAACCACATCGCGTGTCCCGGACCAAGGCGATTGGCTATAGAAAAAGGTTTGTACTGTATGCCGAAGTAACCCCCCGGTGGGGCTGAAGGGGAGGTGTCGTGTGCGGCGCAGTGCAGTGCATTCGAATTCGCACTTCGGTTCAATCCTGGAGTGTGACCATTTCCCAAGGCACTGAAGAAGCGATACGCCACCAGCCAAGTGCCTGCGACAATGTGATGTGACGTTGTCTCTGACTAACCTCGAGGCGAGCTTGACGGGAGTTGTTGAGGCCCGAAGTGCACGCCACTGGTTGGGTGTCGTCGACAAAACCCCATGCCTTATCGCCAAGCTGTTGGACCTGTGTGTGTGCCACACATACACTTTCAGGCTCGGCAGCAATGGGGTGCGGCTTGGATGTTCAGGGCTCTTGTGATCTGCTCAGTAATCTGAATTGCTGAGATTTCACTCCACAAGGCGGCCCGACAGAACCCATGCAACTCATGCAGCCGTCAGTTCCCGCGCGGCGCTAGTGCCCGCGATCCGAGCTTTCGCGCCCCTTTTCGGGAACCACTCTCTGTCATTGAGGCTGTTAAGTAAAGTGGTAGTGCAATATTGCATAACAACAACTTCAGGTGTAAGGAAATTCCCTTTTCCTTACTGTGCTCGACTATAGCGCGTACGCCCTCGACTCTCGGAAGTCCAGGCTCGGCCAACTTCTTCGGTCCCGAACCATTTCGCGAACCCAAACCTCGACGCACAGCGCTTCCGTGGCTTTCGCCAACCGAATCGCCCCAACCTGTTCGCGTGGTTCTCGGCTAGCTCTGTTCGTGCCTGTAAATGCCTAGGCCCTCATTTGTATCGACACTCTTAAATCACGACTCCTTTATTACACTACATGTTATTACTCTGATTAATTCATAACGGCTGGTATCAGAGCCCCGTTCCTGCCCGCTTAGTCTTCCGTAGAGTAGTCCGATTATATCGGGAGAGGACCCGACAGAATAGAGGGTTGGCCAGCAGTTGGTAGGCGGGCTCGTTAAAGCTCCTCCAACTAAAAGCGTGTGCACCCTCAGATCTGTCGGGTAAAATTTCCAGCATGACTAACACGCCAGAAACCTGTGCCCGTCGTAGTATTAGGAACGTGACTCAAGAGGAGTTTGACGACTTGCAAGCCAGGGCGGCTACAGTGACGACACTGCAAGCCCAGCTTCAACAACTCGCGGACAAGTTCGAGTCGCTGGGAAGCGAAAGTCAGATGCTGCGCAACGAAAACTCGTTGCTTCGCTAGACGCAGGGTGAAACGTGTCAGGGGCGGCCTGTTACCCGAGACGAAGATGATGCGAGCGAAGCGAGGGCGTCGGCGACACCTGAAGCAGTTGAAGAAGTCTACAGCGAGCCGGGGGCGGCCATTAAAATCAAGCCTCCGATGCCCCCACCGTTCAACCCGACCGACAGGACCACTACAGTGAGCGGGTGGCTGTTTGCCATGGAAATCTTCTTCACGGCAGCAAGTAGACAATGCATCACGTGTCAACTTGGCTGTGTCGCTGCTGAGGGGACCGGCACTCGACTGGTGGCGCATGCATCTAGACGAGGGAGGAGCCTCGGCAGGGAATCAACGGGCGACAGATGGGGAGATGAGTTCATCAACGGCGAAGGCAGAACCAATCTTTGGGTCGGCAACGATCCGCACGTGGAAAGCGTTGGGCGAAGCGTTGAAGGGCAGATTCGAGCACATATCCATGCGCGAAAATGCTCGCACAAAGCTTCGGATGTGGAGACAATTGGGCTCTGTCCAAGAATACACGGCGTCGTTTCTGGCAATCTGCGACCAAATCGGAGGGATTAGCGAAGACGAGAAAATCGATCGCTACGTGGGTGGTCTCAAGCCGGAGATTCGGCAAGAGATCGTCCTGCGAGCCCCGACGACCTTCAACGAAATCGTTCGCATAGCAGACGCGCTGGATGCACAACGTGGACTCGCGAGAGCGGGTTTCCAGGAGGGAAATCACTTTCGAGGCCAGCCCCAACACACATCAATCAACGGCGTGGACGTGTTTGCAGCCCGAGTATTTTCGGGGACCTGCTTCCACTGGAACCAGCCGGGTCACATGGTGAGGGACTGTCCGCAGCTGAAGAAGAACATACCTAACGACAAGAAGCAGTCGGGAAATGGAGATCGTCAGTAGCAGATGGGCCATCTACTGACTTGACTGCATCGCCCAAACGCCAACACCCCCACCAGGTTCTAGTGCCGATTTGGGCTATCGACCATTCCTGGCTGAATAAGGGGGGTGAACCGGTTGATCACCCTGTGCTGGTTGAAGGGAGAGTTGGCGACACCCGCATAAAAATATTCGTTGATGGCGGGGCGAGCCACAGTTTGATGGACGTGGCAAAGGCGAAAAAATTGGGACTGCAACTGGAGCGCTACATGTCTGAAATCGACGCAAGATTGGTCAACGGCACACCACTGACAATTCGGGAGCGAGTACCTCACGTGCGATTAACATGCGGCGAAAATTTCAGCTTCACAACGAAGATGCTGGCGACAACTTTGGACGGCTGCGGCATGCTGCTCGGACGCGATTGGCTGCGCGAATACAACCCGAGCATTGACTGGCGGACGGGCGACTATCGCATCAAATGGAGTGGCAAGTGGCGACGACTACCCAAGTGGAGCTGTCAAGATTCGACGACATCGACGGTCAGCGTAGTAACGATCAAGCGAGCTATGATTTGAGGGGCGCAACTGTACGCCGTCTGATGGATCGCATCAACGGCTGTCGACACGCCAGCCGACATCGACAAACTCTGCGCAGCTGTCCCAGATGATTTAGCGATGGTGATTCGGAAACACGCCGACATTTTTCCAGATGACCTACCGGCGGGTTTTCCACTTGAGCGAGACCACGACCACAAAATCGAGTTGGAGCCCGGCGCGCAACCGACTGTTCGGACTCAATGGCGGCTGACTCCGAGCTAGATGAACTTCGATGCCAGCTGGACTACCTGCTCGAGAAAGGTTTCGTTCGCCCAAGCACTTCCCCGTTCGCAGCTCCGATCCTGTTCACCCCGAAAAAAAATGGCGGTCTACGAATGTGTATTGACTACCGCGCCTTGAATCGGGTTACCATCAAGTCCCGCTATCTTATCCCGCGTGCCGACGAACTCATCGACCAACTTCGTGGAGCCAAGTTCTTCTCGAAAATTGACCCGCGAGGAGGTTACCATCAGATCCGTGTGAACGAAGCTGACTGCTACAAGACGGTAATTCGGACCCGGTACGGAAGTTACGAGTACACGGTTATGTTAGTATTAAGGACAGAGTCTAGGTGAACTTAGGAGCTAGAATTACTCAAAATATAAAATTCTAGACAGAAAAGTCGACTCCACAAGAAACGTCGTCGACAAAAACCTAGCCGTTGGAATGTCACGAAACTTGGATATATTGTAGCTCTTAATCTCAGCTACCGTTCCCAAGTTGAATCACGTTGATTTATGGAGTATTCGTGACGCTATGACTTTCGACGTACGGAGGGGTATGCTGTAGGAGAAGAACTTAACTCAATCTCAAAAGTTCAATCAAGGCTCAAGAATCTCACAAGGAATTGGAGGAGCAAGAGAAAGGTTGGAAGGAAAGAGAAGGATGAGAGGGAAGGTCCCAAGAGAGTCCCTAACCAAGGAAACCCCATAAGCACAAAGTTCCCTCCCTATAGGAACCTCAACTTTGGCCTTTGTCCCTTCCCAACCAATACAACCAAGTTGGCCACCCTTGCCAACCTAGCTTGGTTGTTCCCAACCAATTTGCAGCTGCTACAGTAGAGTGATGAATTTTCTCAACCCCTAATGGTCCCAGCTCCATATAGAGTCACCCCACAACTTCACTTTGTAACCGTCGCAATTGTAGCGCAAGCTCATGAACTTTGAATCTTCATAGCTTTCACGTTCTTGCTCCGATTGAAGCGATTCTTGTTGCGTCGGAAAGATCTTCTCAAGATCTATAATCACAAATACCTGCTCAAACAAAATAAGACAAAACACATTCCCAAACTCCAGAACACACCACACACAAATTCTTCCACACGTTCAAACCACACATGCAAGCTGAAAACATGGGATGGGAGGCAGACAGAATGTGATAGCATATGATGATATCACACAGTAATCTCCTCCTCTGGCTGCCAACCATCATTCATCATGCCACATCTCAAGCATGCATACTCAATGCACACTCATCCCAGCAAGCTTCATGCCCTTCCAATGATCCGCCTCCGCCAGACGCTTAGTGAAAATATCTGCTGCCTGTTGATGGGTCTTCACTATCTCCAGCCGCACCTCCTTATCAAGGAGTCTCCTCACCCAATGTCACTTAGGCGTTATGTGTTTTGTCAGCCCATGCAGACAAGCATTCTTGGCCAGCTTCACAGCAGACTCATTGTCACAGAACACAACAATCGGCTCCTCCAGACCAACTCCTAGCTCCTCCAACAAGCGCCTCAGCCACACCACTTCCTTGGCCCCATGGTGTAAGGCCATGTACTCAGTCTCACATGAGGACAATCCCACCTCATTCTGCTTCTTGCTGCAACAGCTCACAGCACCACCTCCCAGCAAGCACACATAACCCCCAATGCTGGTGCAATCCGCTTTCACTGAGTTGAAGCTTACGTCAGTATGGCAACTCAAGAGCATCTCACCACTCTTCACATCTGCAGCACCTCTCTGCAACTGCTGCCTCACTCCACTGTACTCTGATCCCACTGATGCCGTAGCACTCACATAGCGGACCAACCTCTTGGCCGCTTCCAGCTGCTCATGACTAGGGCGTGAAACCACGCTAGCCAGCTGTGATATAGCAAATGCAATGTCAGGCCGTGTATGATTTGCAGCATAGTTTAGCTTCCTGTCACTCTCACCCACTACCTCCTCATCAGCACATGGCTCCGCAGTAAACCCCAAAGGTTGGGGTGTTGCACGCTTTCCCCCATCTCGTAGCCCATACTTCTCAGCCAGCCTCTCGCAGTACTTCCTCTGGTGCAACCTCAGCACGCCCTTCTCCACATCTCTCTCCACGTGCATCCCCAGGTAGTACTTCACCTCACCCATCTTGGAGCACTTGAACTGCATCTCCAGCATCTGCTCTGCGCTGTCCGGCAAAGCAGTTGATGCAGAAAAGAGAAGGATATCATCTACATACACCAAGAGCATGAGGATTTCATCCTTCTCCTGCAGCAGGAACATGCTGGGGTCACACTCACTCTTTTTGAAACCCCCAGCCAGCAGTGCCTCCTCCAACTTGTGATACCATGCACAAGGCGCCTGCTTAAGGCCATAGATGACCTTCTTTAGCCTGCAGACCCTGCCGCTCCCATCATCCAGCCCCTCTGGCTGCTTCATGTACACTTCCTCCAGAATTATTCCATTCAGAAAGGCTGTCACAATGTCCATCTGCCGAATCTTCCATCCCAGGAGTGCAGCTATCGCCAACAGCACCCTTAGTGTTGTTCCTTTCCCCACAGGAGCAAACACCTCATCATAGTCCTTTCCCTTTGTCTGCTGAAACCCCCTTGCCACAAGCCTAGACTTGTAGCAGGTCAGCTCCCCTTCAGGTCCATACTTGTGCCTGTAGATCATCTTGGAAGTGATTGCCTTCTTCCTAGGAGGCAAGTCACACAGGTCCCATGTCACATTCTCAATCAGGGACCTGAACTCCTCATCCTCACTAGCCTTCCACTTCTCCCCATTTGGTCCATTCAAGGCCTCTTCTCGAGTCTTGGGCTCAGGGATTGGTGCCCAGTAGCAGTGAGCGATCTCATTTTCCTCAATCTGCTGAACCACACTCCCAGCCTGCACCACATTCGGCTTGCCTCTTCCCCCATAGGCCAGCCTCACAGGAGGGCGCACATCCCTCCTAGGATGCTCAGGCGGGTGTGGAACTCGAGGTGGAGACTCATGCTGCTGCTGCTGCTCCACCTCAGCTGCTCACCCTTCCTCAATCACCCCAGGCATCTCCTCCTCAGACACTGCAACCTCCACCTGTCTTGAAGGCCGCTGCACCTCATCTGCCTCCACAATTAGTGGTGTAGATGGAAGCTTTTGTTGCTGCTGCTTCCATTCCTCGTAGTACAGGGATTCAAGGAACTTCACATCCCTTGACACAGTCCGCTTTTGGATGGTCAAGTTCCATAGCAGCCACCCCTTATGATCCTTTGCAATCCCCAAGTGCACACCTCATCTTCCAGAAGCCTCCAACTTCCCCCTTTTCTCCTTAGGCACATGAAACACCACCATGCACCCAAATGCCCTCAGCATGTTCACAGCTGGAGCACTCCTGAACCACTTGGTATATGGGATCCACTCCTTATCCACAACTGTAGCCAGCACCCTGTTCTTCACAAGGGCTACCTGCCTCAGTGGAGACACCCAAAATGGATCAGGCAGCCCTGCATGCCCAAGGAGAGTGCGTGCCCCCTCCTGCAGGGTCCTGTTGAACCTCTCAGCCACGCCATTCTGCTGCGGGTTGTAGGGCACTGTCAGTTGATGTTGGATCCGCTTCCTCTTCAGCTCCCCCTCAAAATCAGCTCCAATGAACTCCCCACCATTGTCACTGCGGATCACCTTCACCTTGTGTCCGCATTCCCTCTGAGCTCTAGGCATCCACTCCTTAAGGACAGCCGCTGCCACCTCCCCCTTGCTCTTCAAAGGGTAAACCCACACTGCCCGAGTGTGGTCATCCACAATTGTCAAGAAATAGCGGCTGCCTGATAGGGAAGGGGCTCTTGTGGGCCCCACCACATTCATGTGCACAAGTGCAAGTGGGGTCTTGGCTGGTCCTGTACTGCTGTTGAAGGGGAACTTTGAGAACCTGGTCTCCAAGCATGTAGGGCAGCTCCCAATCTCCTTCAATTCCCCCTTGACCTCCAATTCTTTCAGGCTCCCATCCTTCACCAACTACTGCAGCATAGGGAAGTTCACATGATAGAGCCTCCCATCCTACAGCAGTACCCGGGAACAGCATTTGAAGGATTTGGAAGCAGTTTTCTCTCTTCTGCTGCAGCACCGACTCATCACCAAGGGCTCTAAGTGCGATTTTCTCAAACAAGAACTGGAGTTTTTGGGACATGTCATTTCCATCGACGGCGTTAAAATCGACCCTAAGAAGATTGCGACCATACAAGACTGGAAGCCGCTGGCTAATCTCCATGAACTTCATAGTTTCATGAGGTTTGTGAATTACGTTCGCCAGTTCATCCCGAACATGGCGGGGGTAACTTCCCCTCTCATGGATCTCCTGAAGAAAGGCAAGTTTTATGAGTGGGGGGGAGAGCAGCAGGCTGCGTTCAAACAGCTCAAATTTTTCCTGACTATACCTCTGGTTCTTCGAATTGCAGATCCTTACCGTCCGTTCGAGCTCATCACTGATGCTAGCAACCTGGCTATTGGTGCAGTACTGTTACAAGACTTCGGCGAAGGCCTTCAACCCATTGCCTACGAGTTACGAAAGCTGAACCCGGCCGAGCGAAATTATCCTGTCCATGACAAAGAGTTACTCGCCATCGTTCACGCTTTCAAGGTCTGGCGCTGCTACATGACGGCCGCTGACGTGACAGTCCAAACAGACCACAAATCGCCACAGTTTATCCACGCCCAACCGACACTAAATCCCCGACAGATTCGCTGGCTCGATTACCTCGAGTCAAACTTCCACTATAGAGTCACCTACAAACGGGGGGTTAGCAACATCGCCGACGCACTGACCCGCTCTTCAGTACACACCACCGCAGTCCTAATTACCCAAGCTAATCCGCTGCTACCTGGTCACTTCACCCACGGATACAGTACCGATCCATTCTTCACCACTAACAGTAATCCCCAACTGATGTTCAAGCAAGGGGCCTATTACATAAAATCCGGTACCAATCGGATTTGGGTCCCCGCCTACCGTACCCTCGAGAACTACTGATACAGGAGGCACACGACTAGAATTTCTCGGGTCACTACGACATTGACAAAACTGCCAAATTACTGAGCCGTAGTTATTACTGGCCCGACTTGCTGACAGATGTGCAGCAGTACGTCACCTCCTGCGCCGCGTGTCAACGCATGAAGTCTTCACGGCTTCGACCTGCAGGATTGCTGCAGCCGCTCGAGCCACCCAGCGGACCCTGGCAACAAGTGACGATGGATTTCGTCACTCGCCTGCCAGGTGGTTCAAGCGGCAACGACGCAATTCTCGTCGTCGTTGATCGGTTGACCAAGATGGCCCACTTCGCCGTCTGCAAGACGACAATTACTGCCGTGCAGACAGTGAAACTATTCCTCATGAACATCGTGCGGCTACACAGCATTCCTTCAACAATCATCAGCGATCGTGACCCACGATTCACGTCCAACTTTTGGACAAAAACCTGGCAGCAGTACGGCATACGTCTGCATTTGTCCACGGCATACCATCCGCAATCGGACGGTTAGACTGAGCGCACCAATCAGACGATGGAGCAGCAGATTTGCACGACGTACACAGACCCAGCCCAATGGGAAGAATCCCTTCCCTTGATCGAGTTTGCATACAACAACGCCCCATCAGCCATGACTACTCAGTCCCCGTTCTTCCTTAATTACGGGATAGACCCGACAACCTCACTATCGCCACCGATAGAAAATCCGGCGCCAAGATCTCAGCAGTTCGTAAAAAATCTCCGACAGTCTCAACAAAAAGCCGCTGATGCCATCCTCAAAGCCAATCAAAGGGCTAAGCAGCAAGCTGACCGACGACGCCGATACTTAACTCTTGCCCCTGGGCAATTGGTCCTGCTCGACACCAGAAATTTGGGAATTCCCCTCCCAAATAAACTACGATCAAGATTTTGCGGCCCATTCCGCATCATCCGCATGGTGACACCAGTCACCGCCCAGCTGCAACTGCCGGTCGAGTGGTAAATTCATGATTCATTTCACGTCAGCCTCCAGCGACCATTCGTCCCGAGTACGATTAATCTCGACCATCAACACATCAATCCTACGGTCAACCCAGTTCCTGAGCGGACGATTGAGCCATAAAAGATTCTCGCTCATTGCGTACGAGGCAATCGAGATATGGCAGCCATTGATTTCCTTGTACGATGGGTCGATCGCACGACTGACGACGATCTTTGGGTCCCCGCAGCTATGCTCGGCGAACACAAAGTCGTCCGGGACTATTTACACCAACAACGTGTCCCGGATGTGGATAGTCTCATCCCGGGGTGGTGTAAGGAAATTCCCTTTTCCTTACTGGGCTCGACTACAGCGTGTACGCCCTCGACTCTCGGAAGTCCAGGCTCGGCCAACTTCTTCGGTCCCGAACCATTTCGCGAACCCAAACCTCGACGCGCAGCGCTTCCATGGCCTTTGCCAACCGAATCGCCCCAACCTGTTCGCGTGGTTCTCGGCTAGCTCTGTTCGTGCCTGTAAATGCCTAGGCCCTCATTTGTATCGACACTCTTGAAACACGACTCCTTTATAACACAACCTGTTATTACTCTGATTAATTTATAACATCACGGATCTAGAGTTATGGCGGTGTTTAAATGGTAGAACAATGCACAAGGCTAACGTAGCAACCTTAACATTGGAATCACGATGTAAGGAATTGTTTATTCCTTTGTGCGCTACACCGCAAACACGTACACCAACCCCACATGGTACTGACATCAGCCCTAGCTTCGGTCCGAGCACGTCGCACCGAACCATTCTGCGTCACTCTGAAGCACTCTGCGTCCACGGATGCCTTCTCCGAACCTGTTCAATCACACGGCTAGGTTTGCTTTGGTGTTCCTGTATCTTGCTACGTCATTCCATTGTACCACATTAAGTTACTCACAACTTCGCTATCTCATTCCGCACTACTCTGCAAGTTCACCCATGATACGTAGTATTCAGAGCCACTTTCCTCGCTCACCTGTTTCTAGCTGAGTAATTTTTTGGGGGGAATGCTCGTGTGATTACCTTAGCAAAGTGCAAAGTGGTTGCCTGCGAATGAGATCAATTAATTCGCTCAACTACGATAGTGTTTGCGCTTCAAACTGGGTTGGATAATCACGGAAATTCCCCTTCCCACCCGGCGTAGTATTCGCGTCATGTATCAAGCAAAATTCGATGAGCTGATGGCGAAGTTCGGAGCCACGGACACTCGCCTGACAGCTGTACTCGAGGACAACGAGCGACTTCGGACTGAAGTCAATGAGTTGTGCCAGGCGCGATGAGAACTGCACCATAAGTCTGCCGCCCAGGAGGAGGTTGCTAGCATTGGATGTTGCAAGACCGTTTCGGATGAACTTGCACGTGAGGTGTCAGAGGAACGTCGAGCAGAAGAAGCCGACACAGCAGCTGATGCAACAGCATGTGCCGAATCTTCAGCGACAAAAGCACGAGCAGCAGCCGCATGAGCCGAAGCAGCCGCTACAGGGACACTTGTACAAGTAGCCAAGATCAAGCCCCCGCTATTGCCCCTGTACAACCCCACTAGTAAGGGCAAATTCCTACAGCCTCGCGTCAGACTAACCTCGCGTTAGACGCGAGGTTCCCTGTATTGGCTGCCTCGCGTCAGACCATGCAGCACGCCCTTGTGAATAGTTTTTGGTGAAAAAAATACATGCGACCAAAAGGAAATTCATCGCCACCAATGGCACATCACCACGACGATCGAATTTACCCAGGTTGGCACATCAGCGCCGACGCATCTTGCACGTGCGGGAAAGCACAGAAATGAACCAGCAGAAAGCGGCGAACTGTAGCATGAATTTCGCAGCATCAGCGAATTCACAAATTGCATCTGCGACAGCGCAAAATTCATTTCGCGCTAAAAAATTTGACAAGGTTGCGTGGTGCTGGTTTGAGTAAATCGTTAATTGCGAGTGAAACGTACGCTGTGAAACGTACGCTGTTTGACAACGCACATACAAAGCTGGACACCTGGCACCAGTTGAGTTCTGTCCATGATTACACCTCATCATTTCAGGCGCTGTGCGATCAGATCACGGATCTGAGCGATGCTGAGAAGCGGACCAGATAAATTGCCGGTTTGAAGGGAGACATCTGCTACGAAGTTCGCATGCACCGCCCGGCAACGTTCAACAAAGCAGTTCATCTCGCAAATCTGCACGACGCCAATCGGACGTATGCGAGAGTGGGTTCCCGTGAGGGAAATCATTTTCGCGGACAGGATCATCGGCCCACAATCAATGGCATAGTGGCCACTGTAGACGACCTTCGCAACAGAACCAGCTTCAACTGCCACCAACCAAGTCACATTGCTTGAGATTGCCCTGACCTGAAGTAGAAAAAGAAGAACGGTTCTGAAGGGCAAGGAAAAGCACAGGGGCAGTAGCAGACATGCCCCCTACTGATGAGCTTGCATCGCCCCAAGAACAGCATCTCCACCGGGTCGTGGTACCGATACATGCTATCGACCGTGCCCGGACGAATAAAGGGGATGAACCTGTGGATCACCCTGTCCTGGCGGAAGGAAAAGTCAACAGCAAAAAAAATATATATTCATCGATGGTGGCGCGAGCCACAGTTTAATTCATCGACCGACGACAGAAAAATTGGGTTTATCCTTGGAAAGGTGTCTACCCGAAATTGACACGCGATTGATCGATGGCACTCCACTGGCAATACGTGACAGAGTGCGAGTCATTTGCATGAAGTGTGGCGATGATTTCGGCTTTAGCGCGCCAATGTTGGCGACAACATTGGACGGTTATGATGTGCTGCTGGGACGAGATTGGCTACAACAATTTAATTGATTGGACAATGGGAGAATGCGAAGTAAGGTGTGCGAAGGTTGGCGAAAATTATCTGTCTGGCGCGGAGCGGACCCAGTAACAACACGTGTGAACACTATCACGCTGGCACGCGCAGTCAAGAAAGGAGACGAGCTCTTCGCCGTCCATCTGCAAGAATCAACGGACGACGAGGGCCCGACCGACATCGACAACCTCTGCGCAACAGTTCCCGAGGACTTGGCAAAAATCATCAAAAGTACCCGAAAGTATTCTCCAACGATCTGCCAAGTGGCCTGCCACCCGAACGCCCACAGGACTATTGGATCGAGCTGGAGCCCGGTGCGCAACCTACTGTACGAAGTCAATGGAGGCTGACTCAGCCCAAACTCCAAGAAATCCGAAGCTGGGCTACCTCCTGGCCAAAGGGTTCGTTCGACCAAATACGTCCCCGTTCGCGATGCCGATCGTGTTCACTCCTAAAAAAGATGGCAGACTTCGCATGTGCATTGACTACCGTGTGCTGAATAGGGTTACCATTAAGTCGTGATATCCAATCCCTCGCGCTGACGAACTGATCGACCAACTGCGCGAAGCTCGCTACTTTTCCAAGATCGATCTCAGTGGCGGTTACCACCAGACTCGCGCCTTCACCGACGACTGCCACAAAACTACGTTTTGAACTCGCTATGGGAGTTACGAATACACAGTCATGCCATTCGGATTAACGAATGCCCCCTCAAAATTCCACCAATGGGGTATTTTGCGACCTATTCGACAAATGTGTTATCATTTACCTGGATGACATTCTGATCTACAGCAAGACAAAGGAGCAACACTTAGCGGATCTTGAAGCAGTTTTTCAACGGCTGCAGCAGAATCGCCTTATTACGAAGGGCTCCAAGTCGATATTTTTAAAACTGGACTGGAGTTCCGGGGGCACATTATCTCAATGGAAGGCAACAAAATAGCCCCAAAAAAATCCGAGCTATTCGGGAGTGGAATCCTTTATGAGGTTTGTCAATTATGTGTGACGGTTTATCCCAAACATGGCGGGGTTCACTAGACCACTAACCGACTTACTGCATAAGAGAGCTGATTACGAGTGGGGGGAGAAGCAGCAAGCTGCGTTTGACGCGTTAAAACATTTTTTTACATCGCCACCGGTACTATGCATAGCTGACCGGGAACGACCGTTTGAGGTCGTAATTGACGCAAGTGACATCGCCATCGGAGCAGTACTGTTACAAGTTTTCAGCGACGGCCTCCAACCAATTGCGTACGAGTCGTGAAGTTACAATCCCTCGAGCGAAATTATCCAGTACACGACAAAGAAATGTTGGCAATCGTGCACGCGTTCAAAGTCTGGCAATGCTACCTGACGGGAGCGGACATGGCAGTTAGGACGGACCATAAATCGCTACAGTACCTGAGGGCGCACCCGAATCTCAACCCACGGTAGATTCACCGGTTGGATTATCTGGAGCCAAATTTAACGTACCGGATCACGTACAAGAAGGGTGGCAAAAATATTGTTGACGCCCTCTCCAGACCATCTGCTGAGACAGTTGCCACAATAATCGCCCAGACGAACCCGTTACTGAGCGGACTATTCACCCATGGATATTCGACTGACCCCTTTCTTGTAAATGACACCCATCAGCAAGTTACGACTTCGCGAGGTGCCTATTACGTACTGTAAGTGTGGGAACCGATCGAATTTGGGTCATGATTTATCGTCTAGTTTGCGAATTATTAATTCAAGAAGTCCACGATTCAAATTTATCGGGACATTTCGGGGTTGAAAAAACTTTGAGGGCACTGCAGCGGTACTATTATTGGCTTGATATGATGACGAACGTGCAGAGATACGTGGCTGCATGTCCAATCTGCCAGACCATGAAGTCATCACGCCAACGACCTGCAGGACTGTTGCAGCACCTCGACCCACCCCAACGACCCTGGCAACAGGTGACAATGGATTTTTTCACGGGCCTGCCGGCCGATTCAAGCGGAAACGACGCGGTTCTGGTTCTCGTCGACCGACTCACGAAAATGGCTCATTTCGCGCCATGTTGTACGACAATCACAGCCAACGAAATTGCTCGCCTGTTTATCCCAACCGTCGGCTGCCTGCACGGTATCCCTTCGCCGATCATTAGCGACAGGGATCCGAAATTCACATCAAAGTTTTGGCAGGACACGTGGGCACAATACAATACAACACGCGACTACAGGTCTCGTCCGTGTATCACCCCCCAAACGGACGGTCCAGGCGGAGTGGACCAATCAGACAATGGAGTAGCTGATTCGTACAAACTGCCAGGACACACACACGTGGGAGAACGAGCTACCCATGTTGGAGTTTTTGTACAACAACACGCCCTCCGCCATGACTAATCACTTTCAATTTTACCTGAATTATGGGATGGACCCAACAGTCCCTGTCTCCACCAACTTTGAAAGCCAAGTTCCAAGATCGTAGTAGTTCATGGATAATCTTCACAAGGCCCACGACAAAGCTATCGTTTTTTTTCAAAAAGCAAATATTGCTGCCCGACGCTATACCGATTTACACTGGCGAGATATTACAATTGCAGCAGAACAATTAGTTCTCTTGGATACGAAGAATTTACGCCTGCAGATACTGACAAAGATGCAACCTCGCTACTGTGGAACTTTTAAGATTATCAAGATGCTGACGCCCGTGACTGCCCAGTTGCGACTGCCTGACGATTGGCAAATTCATGATTCGTTCCATGTCAGCCTTCTGCAACCCTTCGTCATCGGCACATCGGACGTCGCTCGACAGTACACCTCCCAGGATGTACGGCCACCAGCTGAACCGGGCAGTGAGCCGATGAAAATCCTGAGTCATCGCGTGCGAGTCAATGATCAAAGTTGCCATGTTGACTTTTTGATATGATGGACCAATCGTACCAGCGAGGACGACACGTGAGTACCCTCGGACCAGGTACAGTCACATTCGGTACTCCGGGATTATTTATCCCGCAAGCACGTCGCAAATATAGACCACCTTTGCTAGAAGGGGGGGGTAGTGTAAGGAATTTTCCATTCCTTAGCGCACTACACCGCAAACGCGTACGCCAACCCCGCACGACACCAACATCAGCCCTTGCTTCGTTCCGAACACGTTGCACCGAACCATTCCGCCTCACTCCAAAGCGCTCCGCGTCCTTGGATGCCTTCTCCGAACCTGTTCAATCACGCGGCTAGGATTGCTCTGGTGTTCCTATATCTTGCTTCGTCATTCCATTGTACCCCATTAGTTATTCGCAACTTCGCTATCTCATTCTGTGCTACTCTGCAAGTTCACCCATAACACACGAGGCTTTCATAATAGAGTTGGACGGTGCACTGAATATGATTGCAATGATAAGAATTTAGATAAAGACAAAAGAGTGTGATTGCATGGTTGAATGGGACAAGAGAGCAATAGTAGAACTATAGCACATGTAAATGGGATTATAATGTGCTTGTAAATAAATAGAGAAAAGGTACTCAAGTAAGTAAAAGGGGACTTGTTGAGGGATAGATGCTTGTGAAGAAGTGTGAGATACTTACCCATGTGTGTCTTACAAAGTAGTGGAGATGTAGAATCTTGGGAGTGGTTCTTGATAGGGGAAGACTTGCACTTTGGAAAGGGTCTTGCGCTTGGGAGAAGACTACAAGCTTGGGAGGAGACCACAATCTTGGATGTGGTTGAAGGAGAGGCTATTGCACTTGAAGAGTGAAGATGCCACAAGGTTGAGTGTTGAAGATGAGAGTCTTCCTACAAGCTCGTGGCTTGGTGATGCACCTTACACAAGTTGGGTATAAGATGGAGTAGTACTTGATTACTTTGCTAAACTAGGAACTTTATGAGAGAACTTTGAGAGCATGCTAGTATCATCTATAGAGACATGGAACATGAGTGCTAGCAAGGAGAATTTGTAGTGGTGTGAACTTGAGGAGCTTGAAGGAGACTTGAAGAGGAGTTTGAAGGAGAGGAGCTTGGAGATGCCGTGTTGGAATTGGAGAAACTTCTTGAGAAGTTGGAGTAGATTCTTGGCGAATATAAATAGTAGCGGAGCATGTGAATTGGATTTGTAGACCATGTGGTATTGAAAAAACTTCATAAGAGGAGTTGGAAAGGAAGGAAAAGATGAGGAATAAAAACTTTGTTGAGTTGGAAGCTGAGGAATGCAAGGAATCATGAGAGCCTTGTGAGATGATATGGCAACTTGGATAACTTGGGAAAGGAAGGAAGGAAGGAATAAATGAGATGCATATAGAGTTTGATGAGTAGAAAAGGGAGGCATGTGCTTGAGGCACATAAGAGGATGATTATTGGTTGGAGTAGATGACACAAAGAATTCTTGATGAGGAGGAAGAGAGAGCACATTGGAAAATGATGAAGAGTCATGTGCCTTGAGGTGGGAGTTGGAGATGAATAGGGGGAATTGTTGGAAGCTTGGTTAAGGTGGAGTAGGAATGATTATAAGAGTTGGGGAATATTAAGGCGTACCTGGGAGGCCTTAGGTTGGAGAAGATGAGTTGGAAAGGTTGGGTTGGAAGTTTGGTATGTGGAGTGGGTTTGGTTGGTGGGAAATGAGTTGTGGTAGGTGAAGAATTGTAAAGAGAGTTTTTGGAGGGGAAGGGGTTGGAGTGGCAAGAAAAACTTGGCACGCACGTCACGTGCCACTTATAACACAATACACAAGGCTAGAAAGTAGGAACCAAAACACTGGAATCACGAGGCGTTCAAAACAAAATTGGACTGTGCACTGAATAGTGAATGGAGGACAAACAAACGTCCTGCAATACATAGTGAGCGTCATGGAGGACCACATAAGGCTAAGTTGGGAGTAGGAAGTTGTCGAAGGGATATAAGGTGTTGCAAGTCAGCCCTTGAGCCCCGAACTTCTAAGAACGCTGCTCAACCCCATGTCAGGTGATTGGTACAAGGAAGGCAACTTCTACCCCGAGCCAGGTCGACCTAACTGTTGGTGTGTGAACCTAGGTGCATGGACAAAAAAAATAAATCGTGCATTGGCACTAGCGAGGTTGCTCTAAAAGCAGATGATGCTTAGTGCGTATATAAGAAGTACCAACATCAGAATCAGAATCACATTCAAGCATTACCATGCAGAACGCATTGGATTGCACTACATTTTGACTCTTGCACCACACTGTACTGCCCGAGACGAATTCCATTCTGATTCTGATGCTGCTTTAGGAATAGACCATTAAGTTGTTTTGTTCCACAACTCTACGTCGTAACACCAATCACAGACATAACCGATTAGGCTCGCAAAGTTCCGTGCCTATTCGTTTGGGCTCATTTGATTGGTTTGTGAGGGCGGCTGAATTTGCCATCCTTCTGCGACGAGGTTGGCACGCGAGCAGTATATGCTTCCGCGCGTTAGGCAGACTTGTTCCTATTGCTTGAAACATGGCTCAGCTGTGCCCGATGAAACAGGGCTCAGCAGGTCTCAGCAGCATATGATTCCAAGCTTATGCCGCACAGGACATCCAATTACGTTACAAAATTTGTGGCCCCAGAATCATGCCCCCGAACGTAGGATAGTCTGTGGAATGCCATGGGTGCACTACGTGAAGTGTTCCGCAACATGCAGTGAGCTATGTGACCAGGGCGAGAATCTGGGGAACGACGTTGTCCCGAGTTCCACGAAAGCAGTGTCGGAACAGCGTAGACGTGGGGGGGGCTTTTAGAATGTGATATGTTACATGATTTAGGGTAGAGCTATATGGTTGAGGTGAAACGAATTCTTTATGTTTCCTATGTTACATTTGAAGCAAAGTTACATTCATAGTATGAAGAGTAGAACTCAAGAGACTGGAAGTTATATTGTGGCGTACAATCCAAAATTAAAGAGATCGGAGGATGCACATGTTTAGGGCACGCACAACGGAACAGTGATGAGATTCAAGACTCAGGGTAGAAGATCATGGAACATGGACCGTTTGTGAGACGGACTACATGTGCATTTGAGTATGGGGTGGTATGCAGCGGAGTATGAGAGTTGGAGAGAGGCCAGGAGCCAAATGAAACAGCTTGACCATGGCCATGCGGGACTAAAGCTGTGAGGTGGGGTATCCTCCCAGCATGGCATAGTGGAGTAGTTAAGACAAGGCAGCTCGGCAAGGGACCAGCCTGGGAAAGCCAGGGTTGGGGGGAAGGGGGGGGACGGGGGAAGCGGGGGGATGGGAGGAGAGTGGAAATGGAAGAAGAGCACAACAGAAATGGGATCTCATGTCACTGTCCCCTCGACTGTCATCATGTTGGGAGGGGGGTAGGATAGTCGGTTGAATGCTGAGAGAGGTGACAATTTGGCGGGGCAGCATGGGAAACGAGACAGGGCACGATTAGAGACGTTCTTAGGGGCGAGAGGGCCGTGCCAAAGTAAATGCTGGTGAACACAACGAGTAATGGGACTGCAGGGAAGAGGAGGCATGGGGTGATGTACATTTAGCACCGGAATGAAGGTGGAGAGGATAGACCGTAAGGTGTGGGGTGATGGTGCTTGCAAGCATGGTGAGAGACCGTGACCAGGGTAGTGGGTTGTGAATCAAGGGTGAGGGGGAGTCATTGGACAGGTGAATAGGGAGCCAAATACATGGGGGTGAGGGGGGGGGTCGATTCGGTTGGGACGGAAGAACTGGCGAAAACGTACAGCGGTGCCAGTGAACCGAAAGGCCGTAATGAGGGGGGATGAAGGCGGGAGGTTAAGGCCAGGAATCAACCAAGGGACCTGGGCACAGGAGGGGAAACAGAACACCTGAGGAGTAGAGGGGCAGGAAGACATGGAGGGAGGTCAAATGCAATAAGACGATACATACATGCTCGCCAGTGTGTGAAATGTTATGCGGGGCATGGAAACCAATGGGGTGGATGGAGGGTGTGCGTGGGGAAAAAGGGAGGTTGATATGCTGAGAATAAAACTCCAGACGACACAGAGGTCATGCCCCCTGGCACATGCAACAAAAATAATAAGTGGTCTACAGACTGGGTGATCACATCGCAGAGAAGGATCTAGGTATCCCGGATATGTGGGAGCTGTGGACTATGCCCTACGCTCTTATCACCTTGCAGTACCCCCCCAGCCCCCCAATCCAAGCCCTCCCTCTTCCCCGAGCTCACCCACCCTGATTTTCGCCACAATCCCAACCCCCCAGCACCCTTTCCTTGTTCCCAACTTACATCCTCTAACAGCACAAGTAGTCAACCCCCCCACCTCCCAATGTCGATACATCCAGGAGGCCAAAACCCCATCCCCTGCTCAACGCTTACTTGCATGGAAGGCTTCATCAACACCAGCCATTTCCACAGCACACTAAGGATATGCTTGCAGCTGCACAACCTGACGCGTCTAACAGGCCGAGGCCAACGCGCGCCTAGCCAGTATTTGCATCGTTTCAGCTGCCCGGTGCTGGCTGATAAGGCCAGCTCACTAATCATATCTGATGGGCGGCAATATTATTGCGACTGATCAGAAGCACAAGCTATCAGAGGGTTTCTTACCCGTGCACCTGTAGTGTTGTACTTGCGTGGCGACGGGAGCGAGCTCTTAACACGGTGCAGCAACTCTTCAGTTACATTGTGCTTCAGGATGGTGTCCTCATACTCGCGATGGTTCGATGTCCGATATGGCTGCTTGCAAAGGCGTGAATGGGCATTTTCAAAAACAGCAGCAGCAAACTCCTGTGGCAAGCCGCTTCAACGAATCGAGTCAGGGAGATGAGTGAGCAGATGTACTTTGATGAGATTCCATCCATGGCCAGACCGTGGGAACACCATCTCTAGGAGCCGTATCATCCTGTGGGGCCGACGCGAGGGAAAAAGAAAGAAGGAGCGAATAAAGAAGGGCTTGAGCAAGGATTAACGAGATCTCCAGTGATTGTTTGTGGAAGTAATACGACAATCCTGGGATTGGACAACTAATTGGCGTTGGGGGTTTGAGCTATGGCGTATGTGGAGAGATGGATAGATGGGCCGAACGTAGGGTCACATGATAATTCCAGGATTGACCCGATGCTCTGGCGTTCTCTATACCTCTTTCTTGATCTCTCTCTCTCTCTCTCTCTCTCTCTCTCTCTCTCTCTCTCTCTCTCTCTCTCTCTCTCTCTCTCTCTCTCTTTCTCCATCTCTCTCTCTCTCTCTCTCTCTCTCTCTCTCTCTCTCTCTCTTTCTCTCTCTCTCTCTCTCTCTCTCTCTCTCTCTCTCTCTCTCTCTCTCTCTCTCTCTCTCTCTCTCTATCTCTCTGTATTTCACTCTCTCTCTACCTCTCTTGCTCTCTCTCTCTCTCTATACCTCTCTTTCTACCTCTTCCTTGATCTCTCTTTCTCTCTCTCTCTCTCTCTCTCTCTCTCTCTCTCTCTCTCTCTCTCTCTCTCTCTCTCTCTCTCTCTCTCTCTCTCTCCCTTTCTCTCTCTCTCCCTCTATCTCTCTTTCTCACCCTTCCTCTCTCTCTCTCTCTCTACCTCTTTCTCTCTCTCTCTCGTTCTTTCTTTCTCTCACACACTACCTCTCCCTCTCCCCCCCCCCCCCCCCCCCTCTCTCTCTCTCTCTCTCTCTCTCTCTCTCTCTCTCTCTCTCTCTCTCTCTCTCTCTCTCTCTCTCTCTCTCTCTCTCTCTCTCTCTCTCTCTCTCTCTCTCTCTCTCTCTCTCTCTCTCTCTCTCTCTCTCTCGCACCTCGGTGGCCCCTTAGCGCCCCGCTCACCCCGTTGCGCCCCACTAGCCCCATGGTCCCCGCTGGTCCCGTCCGCCCCGTTGGCCCCGTTCGCGCTGCGCTGGCCCGTCGAGCCCCGCAAGCCCCGTGCACCCCGCTGGCCCCGTACGCCCCGCTGGCCCTGTTCGCGCTCTGCTGGCCCCGTACGCCCGGCTGGCCCCGTTCGCACCACGTTGCCCCCGTTCGCGCTCCTCTGGCCCCATCGAGCCCCGCTGGCCCTGACGCGCCCCACTAGCCCCGTGCTCCTTGCTGGTCCCATGCGCCCCGCTGGCCCCGTCGCGCCCCGCTGGCTCCGTCGAGCCCCGCTGGTCCCGTCCGCCCCGCTGGCCCCATTCGCGCCGCGCTGGACCCGTCGACCCCCGCTAGCCCCGTACACCCCGCCGGCCCAGTCGCGCCCCTCTAGCGCCGTGGGCCCCGCTGGCCCTGCTTGCGCCCCGCACGCCCCATGCGCCCTGCTGGCCCCGTGCGCCCTGCTAGCCCCGTGCGCCCCACTGGCCCCGTGCGCCCCGCTGGCCCCATTTGCACCCCGCTGGCCCCGTCGCGTCCCGCTAGCCCTTTGCACCCTGCTGGCCCCTTACGCCCCTTACTCGCCGTCCCTAGGTCGCCGGCCCGTGCTCGCTCGCCGCCCCTTCCGCTCCGGCCCCTGTTCGAGCCGGGTCCCATTCCTGCCGGCCCCAACGTCCTGCGGTGCCGCTGTGCTGCTGTGCCGTGCCGGCGTGCCGCCGAGTAGCCATTTCGCCGTGCCGCTGTTCCGCCGTGCAGCCGATTGCCGTGCCGCCGTGGTTCCGCCCTGCCGTGAAGCCGTGCTGCCATGCCGCCGTGTCGTCGTGCCACCGTATAGCAGTGTCGCTGTGCCGCCGTGCCGCCTTGTCGCCGTGCCACCGTGTCGCCGTGCCGCCGTGTAGCTGAGGTCGTGCGATGGCGGACGCTGTGCTTTGCCTGGACGCGGAGGGGCGGGCGATTGACTTCGACGCCTGGCTTGTCGACCTTCATTGTCACCTGACAGGTCAGCACCAGGACGGTTACTCCCTGGCTGGTCATGTCGATGGCTTGCTTCCCCGCCCCCCCACGCATGCTGCCCTCCCTGATGCCCCCACCACTGCTGAGCGTGAGGCCTTTTCTGCTACTGCGCTGGCTCGCGCTGTCTGGGAGTCGCGCGACGCCGTAGCACAGCTTGCCATTAGTCGCGCCCTCCTCCTGTCTGAGCGTCCCCGCTTTACCGCTGTAGCGAACGCCAAGGAATACTTAGAGACCGTAGTTGCGCGCTACTCCACGCCCGCTTCCGCCTCTGCTGGCCGCCTGATCCTCCCCATGCTGTTCCCTGATCTCGCGACCTTCTCCACTGTTCCTGACCTAGCCATTCACCTCCGTGCACTTGAGGCTAGCTACCGCGCTGCTAGCACTGAGGCTCAGATCACTGCCTTCCCGATGCCGCTTTGCGCTACCCTTTACCTCATTGCCATGCACCTTCTGGACCGCTTAGCCACTGCCTGCGACCACTTCCTTAGTTAGCACCCAAGTGACCTCACCCTTACCGCCTTTGTCACCGCCCTGTCCGAGATAGAGACCCGCCAACGCACTATCGCTCAGTCTAGCGGTACTGCGGCAGTCCCTATCTTTGAGGGCTGTGCTGCTTCCCAATGTACTTACACTGATGTGTCGGCAGCTGTCGCTGAGACAGCCCTTGCCACTGAGATCGCCGCTGCCCCCTCAACGCAGCCGCGTCAGGGTAGTGGCCGCCGCTCCAGGGGGGGGCGTGGCGGAGGAAAGGGTGGTGGGGGTGGTGGAGGTGGAGGCGAGGGTGGTGGCTCAGACGAGGGGACCAGGGCTGGTTCCCAGAAGCAGCAGTAGCAGCAGTCTCAGCAGCAGCAGCAGCAGCAGCCGCAGCCGCAGCAGTCGCAGCAGCAGCAGCAACAGTCGCAGCAGTAGTGGGGCCGCCTCCCAACGGGGTGGCCCGGTGCCTCTGGTGGTGGTGGCCGCGGTGGCGGCTCTCGCAGCTCGGCATCGGGTGGCAGCTTCGGCACTGTGGGTTGCCAAAAGTCACCTGATTTTGAGTCGACTCAAAAGTCACCTGGTTTTGAGTCGACTCAAAATTCACCTGGTTTCAGGCTCACTTTTCCTTCGAAGAGCCGAGGATCGCTTTGAGCAGCAGCAGCAGCAGCAGCACCAGCAGCAGCACGTTAAACAAGCTTGCATTTTCCACAAACTGTCTTGAGGCGCCTCAAAATCAGACTCATAAACAGACAGGCTCACTTCTCCCTCATGCTCACTTTTCCTTGGAAGCGCTGAGGATCGCTTTGAGCAGCAGAATGAGCCGAGGCTTGACGGACTTGTAGCAGTCCAGAAAGCCGTCGTGCACCTGAGGGTTCGGACCAAGAGGGACACGGGAGGGCAATGAGAAAGAAGAAGGGGGGGGGGGGGGGGTAGTAACAAGGGGGCCAAAGGATGGCCTCCAGCAGCAGAGTGAGGCAAGGCTTGACGGACTTGTAACCGTCCAGGAAGCCATCGTGCACCTGAGAGGTGGATCAGCGTGGGGGGGGAGGGAGTGTTGAGGGGAAGTGACGAGAGGAGGTTGCGGAGTGGTCTTCAGACATAGTTCTCATAGTTAGGAGGAGTAGGGATGAGGGAGCAGCAAACTCTGGCTGGGCTGGACGCACCACCTGAGCAGTGAGGGAGCAGCTAACTCTAGTTAGGCTGGATGCACAAGAACGTACAGCAAAGAATTTTGAGCTGCAGCAAATAATTTTGAGCTGTGAGAGAGCAGGGATGAGGACCTAGGTTTCATCAATATAAGCACCACCTGATGAATGAGGGAGCAGCTAACTCTAGTCAGGCTGGACGCACAACAACGTACAGCAGAGAATTTTGAGCTGCAGCAAATATTTTTGAGCTGTGAGAGAGCAGAGATGAGGACCCAGGATTCAGCAATATTTTTGAGGCGCCTCAAATATAGTCTCAGTACAAGTAGTATAAGGACCGCTTGAGTGATGAGGAGCAGGTGGGTATGGCGAATGCAAATGGCGTTTTTGAAACCCTTTGTTATTGCACAGGTCTGAACAATAGAAGGCTCCTGAGTTATGCATCCGGACTTCACCCCTAGCACACTTACACTTTGCTCCTAGATTACCTGTCAGTACGCTACCAGCCTACCTTGATGTCCATCATATAATCACTGTCAGTCAAGTCCGAGTCAAAGCTGTCGCAAGGGAGGAGAGGGGGGGGGAGTGGAAGGGGGCAAGGGAGGGTTTGGAGTGCGAAGCGAGCTAGATTCCCTATCAGCAGGCCATCACCCCACCTTGATGTCCATCATATCGTCACTGTCAGTCAGGTCCAAGTCAAAGCTGTTGCACGGGAGGGAATGGGGGGGGGAGGCGGAATGGGAGGACACGGAAGGACAGAGAGGGGGCAAGGAAGAACAGAGAGGGGGCACGGAAGGACAGAGAGGGGGCACGGAAGGACAGAGAGGGGGCACGGAAGGACAGAGAGGGGGCACGGAAGGACAGAGAGGGGGCACGGAAGGACAGAGAGGGGGCAAGGAAGGACAGAGAGGGGGCACGGAAGGACAGAGAGGGGGCACGAAAGGACAGAGGGGGGGAACGGAAGGACAGAGGGGGGGCACGGAAGGACAGAGGGGGGGCACGGAAGGACAGAGGGGGGGCACGGAAAGAGAGAGGGGGGCACGGACGGACAGTGGGGGGGCACGGAAGGATAGAGGGGGGGCACGGAAGGACAGAGGGGGGGCACGGAAGGACAGAGGGGGGACACGGAAGGACAGAAGGGGGGCACGGAAGGACAGAGGAGGGGCACGGAAGGACAGGAAGGACAGAGAGGGGGCCAGGAAGGACAGAGAGGGGGCAAGGGAGAGAGGGGGGGGAGAAGGGAAGAGAGCACCTGAGCCCTTGCCTCCCTTAGCTAGCCCTGCCCCTCTCCCCTCCCTGTTTAGTTTCCAGTTCACTATTCACTTCTGCTTTGGTGGCAGGTCGGGCCGGCCGCCTTCGGCGGCCGTCGCTCGCGGCGCGGCCTTCGGCCGCGCGTTAGGGGACGGCAAGGTTGACAATAGGGGAGTTTCCAGGCACATCATTGACAACGACAACAAAACAAGTGGGGATGCAATGGGCGCCTCCGCGAAAGACACACTTAGTGCATGATGGCAACACACTAGATTCTTGATCTGGCGGCCGGTCTTACCCCTACGAGCCGTCATTACACCCGCCGTGTGGACCGCCCGCCTACACTATGTTCAGATCATCGAGGAGGAGCGCGACGACCCGGTCAACCTCTTGGAGTGCTGACATGTTGGTTAGAGAATGCTATAAGCAGATGATTCAATGGCTCCTTGGAAATTTATGCAGCACTTCGTTATGACGCCCAGAAAACTCGCGACCTTCGAAAAGCTATATCCAAAACTCCAATCAATGAAACGATCTGAAAATCGGATATGTTGTAGCTTGCAGCGTCAGCTTTCCTCTGAAAGTTGAATCACTTGATTCCGTAGCTTATCGAGTGAGCTATGGCGTTTGGCGCACTGGGGGGTAATCTGCCCTAGGAGAAGTTGACAGTCCTCAGAGTCACTATGATTGAAGCTTACAAGTTCAGAGACATGATGGAAAAGGCATTGAAGCATAGTTGGAAGGTGGGGTGGGAAGGGAAGGATGAAAGGGAAGGACCCTGGAGGCCCTTGGTCAAGAACATGACAAGAGTCAAAGTTTTGACTCCCCATCCTCAGGTTCAGCCAGCCTGGCAAGACAAAATTCATACTGTACCAGGTTGGTCTCCAAACCCCAAGTGCTGCAGCTGCAAGGTGGGGACAAAAGTCCCACACATGCTGGTCCCTCCTCGTTTTAGGGCTCTCCAACTTTGGTGTAGCAGCTGCCAAGGACTTCCAATGAGTTGTAACAAATCCATCAAACATTTCTTCGTAACTTCTTCATATGTGCTCCGATTCCAACAATTCTTGGCTCGTTGGAATGCGCTCGATCTGATGTACAATCCAAGCACATCTGCACAAGCACAAGATGAATATGCAAAGACATGCAAACCCAACAAACCACACAAACAACGTAGCACACAAAACACATGCAACGAAATGATGCGAACAGACGACAGGATGACGTGCAAACGAATATGCACCAACACACTCCCCCTCAGACTGTCGGCTTGTTTCGCCGTCTCTAGTTCAAGGACATTCCCGCCATTCTCGCACAGCGCCAGTGTGGCTCTTCAGCTAGCCGCTTGGTAAGGAAGTCGGCTGGCTGTTGCTGAGTTTTCACGTAGATCGGATCCAGTGTCCCAAGCTTCACCTCCTTCCGCAGCCAATGCCACTTGATCCTCATGTGCTTGTTCAACCCATGAAGAACTGCATTGCGTGCCATGGCAATGGCTCCCTTGCTGTCACTGAACAGAGGTGTCGCACAAGTCTGTTCATGGCCGATCTCCTTCAAGAGCCTCCTTAGCCAAATGATTTCTTTTGCTGCATGAAACATCGCCATGTACTCAGATTCCACTGACGATAGTGCCGTCTCAGACTGCTTCTTGGACCTCCAACTTACAGGCCCACCTCCCACCATGCAGATGTATCCACCTACTGATGATGAATCCTCATGCTCAGAAGCCCATGTGGCATCAGCAAAACAGGAAAGGAACACCTTTCCTTCTCTAAGCTGCTCCCCCTTCTCTTTGAGAACTTCAACTCCTTTCTGACTGAGTTGAGCAGAGGCTGAATACTGTACTCCCACTGTAGGGTATGACTTGAGGTAGCGCACCACTCTCTCCGCTGCACCACACTGCTCTTCTGTTGGATTTTGCACTACTCGAGCCAGCTGTCCCACAGCAAAGCTGATGTCAGGCCGAGTATGCACAGCAGCGTAGAGTAGGCTCCCGACCATGGATTGGAATTGCCTCTGGTCTTCACTCTCAACTCCTTCTCCTTCAGCTGCCTTTATGAGTTTGAACTCGGAAGGCAAAGGTGTGACCACTTCCCGTTCTTCCTGCAGAGAGTACTTCTCAGCCAAGGTGTTAATGTATTGTCCCTGATGCAGTTTGAGCCAGCCACGTTCAGTATGCGGCTCAATGTGCATTCCCAGGTAGTACCTTGCCTCTCCAAGTGACTTGCACTTGAACTGCTCTGTGAGCTTCTGCTGCACCCCATCGATCTCCTTGTCACTGCTGCTGAAGAGCAGGATGTCATCCACGTACACCAGCAGAAGCACAAGCGACTCCCCCTCGCTCATCAGGAATAGGCTCTCGTCGCATGCACTCGCACGGAATCCAATCCCTTCCAGTGCACTGGCCAGCCTGTTGTACCAGCATCTCGGGGCCTGCTTCAAGCCATAGATGGCCTTGTTAAGTTTGCAGACACGACCGGTTCCATCCTCATAGCCAGGTGGTTGAACCATGTATACCTCCTCTTCCACAATGCCATACAGAAAAGCGGTTACGATGTCCATCTGCTTCACCTTCCATTTGCGCACAGCAGCTACCGCCAGCAGCACACGTAGCGTTGGAGACTTAGCAGTTGGGGCAAACACTTCTTTGTAATCTTCCTTCGCTTTCTGCTGAAACCCCTTTGCCACCAGCCTGCTCTTGTAAACTGATGGCTCTCCTTTCTCATCCGTCTTGATTTTTGCCAGCCACTTGCACTGTATTGCCTTCTTCCCATTTGGCAAGTACACCAGGTCCCATGTGTGGTTCTCCATCTGGCTGTTGTACTCTGCATCTCTTGAAACGAGCCATTTCCCCCGTTGAGGCCCGGCTAGCGCATGATCCATGCTCGGAGGTTGTATTGGTGCGTAAAAGCAGTATGCAGGCTCTTCGTCATCTGACTCTTGGTCATCACCCAAGAACAGCACTGTATCTTCGCCTTGAGCCTGTTCCTGCTGCTCAGTTGTGGCTCCTTCACTTGTAGAGCTCAGCAGCTTTCTTGTTGCCATTCTGGTACGTGCAGGGTAGATGGTTGGATTTACCCATTCTTTCACCTTCACCCAATCCTTTGTCCCCCCACCAATCTGTTTCCTTCGCTTTGGCAGACTTGGTGTTTTGGAAGCCTCTTGCTGCTGCTGCTCCGGATCCTTGACTTCAGCATCAGCTGCAATATCCTCATTGCTTCCTTCATCAGTACCGCTTGCCGTTGGCGCAGTGACTTCGCTGTCCTCAGGTTCGGACAAATCGAAGTGCATAGTGATCTCTTCCAGCTGCTGGGTGACCCTTGCCTCCGGCTGCTTCTCCCACTTGCCATACATGATGTTCTCCACAAATTTGACATCCCGACTGTCAAACAGCACATTCTTTGAGGGCTCCCAGAGTAGCCACCCCTTGCTCTCTGCCGCAAGCCCAAGGTGCACACACCACAGTGCAGATGCTCCAAGCTTTGTCCTGTACGGTTTAGGGACATGCGCCACTGCCATGCATCCGAACACTCTGAGCATGTCCACTGGAGGCTTCTTTCCAAGCCACCTCTCCAGCGGCACCCACATATCATCAGCTACCTTTGTGAGTACGCGGTTCCTTGCCACTGTAGCATGCCTCACCGCATGAGGCCACATGGAGTTCCCCAGCCCTGATTCGATCAGCAGCGCTCGCGCAGTTTCCAGGATGGTCCTATTAGCCCTCTCAGCAACGCCATTTGACTGAGGGGTATAGGACGTTGTTAGCTGATGCTCAATGCCTTGTTTCTTGAGCCACGCAGTCAGATCTCCTCCTAGAAACTCTCCACCTCGGTCGGTTCTGATGCTCTTGCATGGTTGCCCAGATTGTCGCTCGACGAACGGCAGCCAGTCATCTCGTATTGTTGAGGCAGCATGATCCTTCTGCTTCAACGGGTATGCCCACATCAGCCGGCTCCAGTCATCAACTATTGTTAGGAAGTATCTTTCCCCCTTTCTTCCTTGAACTGGAAAAGGTCCTACCAGGTCCATGTGCACCAGTTCCAATGCTGCCTTGCTTTTCCCAGCTACGCCGTGAAAGGGGAACCGTGTGAACTTGCTCAGCAGACACGTCTCGCACTTGGTATCATTTGGTTGCCTAGAAAGCTTCAGCCCCTTTACTGCTTCTTCCTTATGCAGTTGCTGCAGCAATGGCATAGCCACATGCCCTAGACGCCTGTGTGCGGTTTCCCAATCAGTCTCCCCCGACCTTGCAGAAACCATCACTCCTGCAGCACTAACTGCATTGCACTCCCCCTGGACTCCAGATCCCGCCTTTACTACTCCCAGCTCCTTCTTTGTTGATTCCCATATCAGCGCAGGGATCTGCCACATGGATCTGAAGACATCCCTGCTTTCGTGTAAATCCCATAACACACGATCTCCTTGCAGCCCCTTGAATGTTTTGGATCCATTGGTGGTGGTGCTGACTCCGGCCTGGCCTAGCTTGCGCAGCGATATCAGATTGGCCTTCAGCCCCGGTACGAGTAACACATCCTTCAGCACAACCAGTCCACCATCAGGTGCTCTGAATGCAGCTCGACCAACTCCAGCGACCTTCACTGCATGTCCGGATGCTGAGCGCACTTCAGAGATTGGAGGCGCTCGCACAGCATCCAGCAAATCCTTGAGTGGTGTCATTGTCCATGCAGCACCAGAGTCCATGACCCACATGTCAAGCGGGTGCAATTCCTCTCCAGCCCTTGCAACAGCCGTGCCACTGTCATCTTTGTCACACACATGGTAGAACTGTCCAGCATTCCTCTCCTCATTTCCCATTCCTCTGTCATCCTTGGAGGTTTCTTCAGCAGGATCAGCTACCATGTTGGCACCTCCACGTGGTTGCTTTCCTCCATTCCCCTTTTGTGATTGGTTCCAAGGGGTCCACCAGTCGGGCTTGGTAGAGCAGCGAAACCATGGATGCCCTTCTTCCTTGCAATACCAGCACTCTCCCCTCAAGCGTGGTTCACTGTTGTCATTGTTGGAGTGACCACCTCTTCCTCTTGCACCAGCGCCACCACGCCCCCGCTGGTTCCAAGTCCCGCGACCACCTTGGCTGTAGTAAGAGCGACCGCGATTGCCACGCCCTCGATCCCTCCATGTCCCTTGCATGGCATAGCCGCTGGTGCTGTCATCACCTCCGCGCAGTGTGTAGCGACGAAAATCTTCTTCCAGAATCTTGGTGCGAATCCACTCCAATGTCCATTGACTTTGGTTTTGTGGCAAGCTGAGTCCGCTTATAAATTGCAGCCAAGACTCGGGCAGCAGGCTGAGCATCTTGAGACACTTAGTCTGCTCAGGGTACGTGATGCCCGCAATCGCCAATTTCGCGTAGAGTTCCCTCATCTTGTCCAGAACGGGCTGCACAGGTTCATTCTCGCTCAACCGCAGCATGGACAGCTCCCGATCCAGCATGAGAGAAGCGGCAACCGATGTCGGAGCGTGCAGGTCCTTGAGCACTGCCCATGCCTTGGGCCCACAATCAGTTTCCGGTAGCAGATGCATGATGTGATGCCTCTGGTTCAGCTCCAAGCTTTGTGACAGTAGATAATACCCAGCAGATGAACGTTCATCCCAGTCCGCTTGCTCTGCCATTTCCTTTGGCCTGGGCTCCGTTCCAATCATGAGCTTCAAGAGGCCAATTTGTCGAAAGTAGAGCTGCATCTTCCATGCCCAATCATCATAGCCATCTCCAGAGAACTTCTCAATGGTGAAGTTCTTCAGCACCTCCTTAAGCAGTGACCCCTGGCTTGTACGCGCTCCCCTTCGTGCTGCAATGCCAGAATCTTGGGTTGAGCTGCCTCCTTGGACTGAAGTATCACCTCCACCAGAGTCCTCCTTATCTCCCATCGTAATTTAGGTCCCAAATGCGTGATAATGGGCTCTGATACCACTTGTTGGTTAGAGAATGCTATAAGCAGATGATTCAATGGCTCCTTGGAAATTTCTGCAGCACTTCGTTATGACGCCCAGAAAACTCGCGACCTTCGAAAAGCTATATCCAAAACTCCAATCGATGAAACGATCTGAAAATCGGATATGTTGTAGCTTGCAGCGTCAGCTTTCCTCTGAAAGTTGAATCACTCGATTCCATAGCTTATCGAGTGAGCTATGGCGTTTGGCGCACTGGGGGGTAATCTGCCCTAGGAGAAGTTGACAGTCCTCAGAGTCACTATGATTGAAGCTTACAAGTTCAGAGACATGATGGAAAAGGCATTGAAGCATAGTTGGAAGGTGGGGTGGGAAGGGAAGGATGAAAGGGAAGGACCCTGGAGGCCCTTGGTCAAGAACATGACAAGAGTCAAAGTTTTGACTCCCCATCCTCAGGTTCAGCCAGCCTGGCAAGACAAAATTCATACTGTACCAGGTTGGTCTCCAAACCCCAAGTGCTGCAGCTGCAAGGTGGGGACAAAAGTCCCACACATGCTGGTCCCTCCTCGTTTTAGGGCTCTCCAACTTTGGTGTAGCAGCTGCCAAGGACTTCCAATGAGTTGTAACAAATCCATCAAACATTTCTTCGTAACTTCTTCATATGTGCTCCGATTCCAACAATTCTTGGCTCGTTGGAATGCGCTCGATCTGATGTACAATCCAAGCACATCTGCACAAGCACAAGATGAATATGCAAAGACATGCAAACCCAACAAACCACACAAACAACGTAGCACACAAAACACATGCAACGAAATGATGCGAACAGACGACAGGATGACGTGCAAACGAATATGCACCAACATGACACGCAGCCGTCGAGCACTTCCAATGCTCGGCCCGCCTGAATGTTCTTCCCCAGATCCGCCACCACCGTGTCAGTTCCAAGTGGCAGTGCTCTTCCTGAAGCATGCCCGGGCCACGACGCGACCAGTGCCGCCCTCGCCGATGCCTCCAACGACAAGCACTCTGCCTGCTGGTGCTCCATCAGCAAACCTTCTTGCCGGGGGCGGCCAAGTACATATTGTTAGAAATAGATAGCAAATCCCACTATTCTATTTGTACTTTTATATCCTAGTTTAGGCTAGGAATGTTCTAGTGGGTTGGGGTGTACTCACAAAATTCCAACCTTACCCAATTGTGATTCCCCCAATCTCCAATTACCCAATTGGAGATTCCGGAGATCCTATGAGGTTTCCCTCCAATTCCCCCTTCATCCATTCTCTCTTACCTTGCCATGTACCTATAGAGTCTTGGGCTCCTTACCTAATTAATCCTTTCAGCTCTATTTCTCACATGGTATCAGAGCGACCTATCCGCACACGCGGATCAAGGTCCTAGTCTTTAACGAGCCTGCGCTACGTGCACATTATCGTCGCGACATTCGTGTCGAGTCGTCGGATTTTTTCGACGTGCTCCACTCTGCAGTCGCACCTCTCATCGTCGACCGCCTTCGCGCTCGACCTCGTTGAGTTTCTCAACTCGAAAGCTTTCACGCTTCTCATCGTAGATTTCCTCCTTGGTCGAATCTCAATTTCGACCATCTCTTAAAACTCGTTCTCGAGTTTCCCCTCAGACCCCGCCACAATAGGCGAATTCCCCTCGCAGAATCGCCTCCACGATTGTCTCGCGTCAAGCAAGAGCATGTACACAGGTTGAAGAGGAGCCGAGCTGGTTACGGAACTGGTTGCGGAGCTGGTTGCGGAGCTGGTTGCGGAGCTGGTTGCGGAGTTGTGTAGCTGCAGGACAGGGCCTGGGGATGTGTAGGGGGGTATGTGGGTCTGGGGTTAGACATAGTCTTAGATTCAGTTCAAAGTCGGCATTTTAACGAATCTCCGCCGACGCCATTTCCAACTTAGCGGAGTTTCGACGAAGCTGCCGGAGTGATTTTCAGCAATTTTCTTCGACCAATTTCCGGAATTGACGCGCTGCACACCAAAGTTCCTATCGGTAACTAAAGAGCATTGCTTCGCAAAAATCAAGCGGCAATGGCTTACTCAACCACTTCACTCGCCAACCCGATCCCGCTCCTTCGTCTCGAGCCGGACGGTACATGCTCGAAATACAAGGCTTGGCGCTATGGTGTCGACAAGCACCTCCTTAGTCGCGAGGTGAAGGGGCTCAAGCTTACCGACGTCCTTCTCAACATTCTCAGCAAATAGCCTCCAAAACTCGAAAGGTCCGCCGATCCAGCTAATGCCGCCGCCGAAGCAGTTTATGCAGCTAATGCCGTACTACTAATGTCGCGCGGTTATTAGTGTCTTCATGGGCACCACTCCTCCCGAACTCGTCGAAACCTACCACCACTACCCGTCTGCCAATGCCATTTGGCTCTACCTTGAAGACCGCTTCATGAACAAGACTGTAGTGGGAGTTGCTATACTCATCCCCAGTATGTTCCAAGTGCGGCTCGAGGACTCGCCAGGCATGGTGGACTATGTCACCAAGGTGCAGTCCATTCATGGTGAACTGAAGCTGTTGGGGATAGTCTTCCCTGAGCAAGCCCCTGCAGCCGCTCTCCTAGTCGGCCTCACTCCGGCATACGAATTCACACGCAAGATGCTCTTGGGCCTTGCTCCTGTGGACCTCACATTTGCCAAGGTCTCATCCGCGCTCCTATTTGCCGAAAAGGGCAACAGCGCTCAAGCCAAGGCCAATGCCATCCGCGCTCCCGTGCTTCAGGCCTATGCCGCTTCGGCACCATTGCAGCACAACCACTTCCCCCCGTGTCCCTACATCATCAAGCACGGCCCTCGTGCCGGCCAGGTGTGTGGCGGCACCAACCACGCTCTCGCCTCCTGCTTCAAGAAGAAGGATGACGAGTGGTATGCAGTCAATGGGACCGCCTCGAAGCCGCCAAGCTGGATGGTCAATTGTGCTCCTCGCAAGGTCAATCAAGTTGAAGTGCAGGAATCTGTGCAGGCTGCTGTAGCTCCCCCTGTTGATGTGCGCCTTAACATGTTGTTCCTTGGCACTGCCATGAGTAATAAGACGATTTCGCAGTATCCCGGCTCACAAAGCACCTCAGCCACAATAGAGTTCACCCTCGACAGTGGGGCCTCTCACACAATTCTCAAGGAAGAACAATCTTACAAGCCATACGGGACACCAATTCGTCTACTAGGAGCAGACTCCAGTTTCACAAAACACGCCAAGGGCTCCTGCACAGTTGCGTGTACAGCTTTCCCTTCGGGCAGTGTCACCGGCATGTGTGTGTTGGTGCAACCCTACGGCTTGCACTCGGCTTGTCGTCCTTGTTCGTATGTGTGCATGCATGGCATGGAATGACTTGTGAGTCTATGTCATTGCTATCTAGTGCTTGTGACTGTGCTTGAATGATGTCTCACAATGTGGTGTGTGTCGGTCAAGACATTAGCGAGTTTTCACTACTCGCATGTCAAGTCGTCGTTTGCATGTCGAATGTGTTTTTCTATTTTGTCGTGTGTGAAGTGTCCTTCGCGTCGCAGGTGTGTGCAGCCAGCCCTCATTAACTCAAGAAGAGTTTATCTTGCAGAACCAAGACCAAGAGATTTCAAGCCCAAGGGACGTGTATAAATATTAAAATAGTGAAAATAGTAATGCTACTTCGTGTAGTGTTACATTTCACTTGGTGTAGCCCCTTGCTGGGTTTGTTTCGAGTCTCCTCGTGGTTGGGGACTCTTTGGTGGTGGGCCACCAACCTGGACGTCGGCTCTTGGGGTATGTAGAGGCTGGGAACCATCTCAATCTCTATTCTTCTTAATAAGTTCGTACTTCTAAGGATATAGTGGCTGCCATACCTCCTGCCAGTCAAACCGCCATAACGTCCTCAAATCTTCACGGAATTTCATGATTCAACTTGCTGCTGATAGAGAACAGCAGCGCGCTCTAGATCCATTTCCCACATCATCGTTTGATTTATCGAGCAGATCGTTATCAATATTTCAATCTGTCTGACGAAAATCCGACTGTGCTCTCTATCTCTCATTATAGGCACATCTGAGCCTATTGTGATTATAACAGTGTGTTCCCACACGACGCCACAATCTCGTGGCCCAACAAGAGCTCCAATAGGCAGGCATCACCACAATCTTCCCAGCACACTCGGATCACCGTGACCTCCTCGACCCTAAGTCCAACAAGCTCCTAGCACGCTTCACACTCAACAGCAGCATGCTCTATACGCTGCGTTCACCTGCACCTCTCGCCGCCCTCTCCCAAGCGCAAGCTGTCAACACCATTTTCGCATTCCTGTCACAGCTTCGCCAACCCAACCATCCTCTACCACCATCGCTTGGGTCACCCCAACTTCCGTACGCTTGCCAACATCGCTTCCAAGAAACTTCTTCTTGGCCTCCCGTCGGCGCTTCCTCCACCAACAGACTCACCTGCACCCACCTGCCTGGACTGCACCAAGAGCAAGCTTAGGCAGCAGCCGCACCCTTCCTCCCCATCCGTCGCAGCTGCTCCGCTGGACCTAGTGCACATGGATGTCTGGGGCCCAGCTCCAGTCGCTTCCTGAGGCGGTCATCGGTACTTTCTTCCATTTGTCGATGACCACTCGCGTTATGTTTCCGTGCACCTCCTGCATACCAAGGCAGAGGCACCTGCCCTCATCATGGCATGGGTGTGCCAGGCTCAAGTCACGTTCGGCACTCCTCTAAAGTGCCTCCATTCTGATGACGGGGGAGAATTTCGCAATGGCAAACTCGATAACTTCTGTGCGGCCCAAGGGATTCGGCAAACCTTCACGCTCCCCGAAAGGCCGCAGTAGAACGGCATTGCAGAGAGCCGCAACCACACCTTGGTTTAGATCACTCGCTGCCTCCTTAGTCACGCCAACGCACCACCGTCACTCTGGGGATATGTCCTCTTCCATGCGGCATTCCTCTACAATCTTTATCTGCATCCCCATCGGCCCGACACCACACCTATCACTCTCTGGCTTGGGGCCACGCCTTCCGCCTGCTCTCTACACGTCTGGGGGTGTACCGCGTATGTGTTGCTCAGTCCCCACACGCGCAGGAAGCAATGTGGCAAGCTTGGTCCCAAAACCCAGACCTGCATGTACCTGGGACACAACTTCGACTCCCCAGACTAATTCCTCAACCCCATCACCAGGCAGCAGATTCGCAGCCATGATGTCGCCTTCGATGAGACACGCTCCTTCCACTTCGCGACCACAGGCGAGCCTCCTCCACCTCCCCCGACGCTTGTATGGGCAGACTTCGATGCCCCACCTTCTGCCGCTGCCCCTTCTCTGGGGCCTTCTCCGTCTGGAGTGTCATACCCGGCCTTCCCGGTATCCTCCGCAGCGGCACCTCCTCCTGCTCCGCCTTCCCCGCGCGTCGAGCCCGGCTCACCAGTCTCCTACCGGAGGCGCCCAGTCCCTCCGGTCCCCCCGCAGCCGCCTTCATCTCCGGTCTCTAGTCGCACTCGTTCCAAGGGACCGGCTCTGCCTGTTGCCTGGGGACCAGCCGCCTTCTCCATCCGGTGTTCGGTCACCCCGCCTCCTCCTGCCGGGGGTGATGTCCCCTTCATCCACATCCCCCCCCGTGCA